TTGTGTTATATTATTTCCATTAGTTACAATAAATCGAATTTCTTTCAGTGATAGCACCGAGTAGTAATAAGTCCAGAAATACAGTTTGACATTGTTGTGTTATTTGCATACTAACTGTCGCCCGCGACTCCGTCCGCGCGGGATAAAAAAAATACTTAATAAGTAGACTATGTGTCCTTCCAGACTATGTTCTACATCTATACGAAATTTCAGCTAGACCCGTTGAGCCATTCTTGACATATCTTCAAACAAACGTCCATCCATCCATCTAAGCATTTATAATATTAGTAAGATATCACACATGTATTTTATGAATTGCTTATCAAATACATAAAAAAGCGATGTTATTAAATAATTATTAAAAATAACGATTTGTTACTAACAAAAAAAACATAAACCCGACTATGAAACTAGGGGAAGATCGAATCGTTCGTCAAAATCGTTTCAAACGTTTAAGCTCTATACCGTCAACAAACACACATACATACATACTAACTTACAGGCGAATAATATCCTCTAGTATCAGTAGATTAAAAACAAACACAATTTTCAACAGTTTAATGGTGAATAAATAAAATACGTACTCTCCTTTTCATAAATTGTAACCTTGGGACCTTAAACTAATGTGAATTCATCCATCGCCTAATTGTGTTACATTTAATTCATTACATCCTAACATTTTATGACTTACGCATTAAATATTAAAGGATAAAATAATTTACGACGGAGAAGAGAGATAATCTTACTAATATTATAAATGTGAATGTTTAGATGGATGGATGTTTGTTTGAAGGTATCTCAAAAACGGCTCAAAGGATCATGATGAAATTTGGCATGGATATAGAAAATAGTCTAAAAGAACACATAGGCAATTTTTTAATTCGTCGCGGACAAAGTCTCAGGCGACAGCTAGTAATTTTATAATTATATCTTTGTCAAAAATATTATTGATAGAAATAGCTATCATCATCATCAGCTCGCTATACGTCTCCAATGAGGAGCTCGGAGCCTACCCTAAGTCACGGGTGACTAGGCCATAGTCAACCACGATGGCCAAGTGCGGGTTGGTTGACTTCACACATATCATTGATTTTTTTCTCAGATATGTGCAGGTTGCATCACGATGTTTTCCTTAACCGTACTCGTAAGAACGACGGATAAATGTACATATGTAAATCAGAAATCGAAAAACACATTGGTACATGGCGGGATTCGAACCCAGGATCTGCAGATTGCAAGTCAAGTTTTTGACCACTGAGCCACCGACGCTCAGCGAATCCCTGGTTTTTTAAATTGTTCTTGTACGGTTTTTTGCATAGTAAACCATTTTACTAACTTTTTAAATATAAATCGAAAAGAAAATACATTTTAAAAAGTAATTTAAATTCTGCACAATCACGTAGAGCAATTTATCACTTCCTGAATGTTCGAGAAAAGAACTTCCTAATGATTATGGACTCCGGTGATTCTTGCTTTTCAATGGTTTATTTTGATATATTTTTGCACGGTTACTAATACTTACGACGAAGGAAAACATCATGTTGCAGCCCCCTAGTACAAATATTTGTGACAATCACCCTTTTTTTTATATCAAAAGGTGGCAAACGAGCGAGCAGCCACCTGAAATCGCTGAAATAGCGAAGTGATTGCTGCCCATAGACATACGCAATTGCATATGCGCTGCCTACCTTTAATCGACGGAGGAGAGGATGCACAGAAAGAAAATATGTTCCCTTTCCATGGATCCTCTCATCCGTAAAGTGCATTTCCACTTCCCATCCTTTCCTTATAAAGAAAAGGATGGGAAGGGACAGAGGACGAAATAAGGCCTCCGGGACGCACACTAACGCGGAATTGCTTCCACTTCACGCCTGTCTTCTGTGTGGTCGTGGTATTTCACCGGGCGAGCCGGGCCAATTCGTGCGAAGATGTTAAAGCGGGCTCTACCACTGTTAGAACCTCGTATCGTTATCGTCAATTTTCTTCTTATTATTAATCCTTACTAATATTATAAATGCGAAAGTATAGATGTATGTTTGTTAGAAGCTATCTCCAGAACAGCTCCATAGATCTCGCTAAAATTTGGCATTCATATAGAACATAGTATAGAAGAACACATAGGCTACTAATTAAGTTTTTTTTAAGTCCGGACGTAGTCACGAGCTACACCTAGCGACGCTGCACTAATGTCACCTCTGACATATCGCTTCAAATTTATTAGGAACATGTATACGCTAACTATAATTATGCATCTACCTTATCTTTGAAATTAAGGTCGTGAATGTAAACATATATAAAGCTCGTTCTCCACTCAATGCTATCTTCAAAGCATTATCTATAGTATGATATCCCAAGTTGTTATTAAACCGCAAATATGAAATAGATATATTAATATTAAATGGATTTGCCTTGAGAATCGAAATAATATAAAGCCATACACACACTTCCGTGTATATAACATTAATGTAACTTAAAGTAACTCTCGAAGCTTTCTACCTTGTCATAATCTATACATGCATACTTATTAATAAAATTTGCGTGTCTGTATGTAATATCGAAAAACATATTTCATATATATGTATAAGTAAAGATAATAAAGAAAAAACAAATTTTTGGTTTATCTGTCTGTATGCTTGGCCACACGACGTTTGTTCCGTAACTCCGGAACGGCTGAACTTATAATTACAATAAAATACTAACGTAATAAAATGTTGTTTTTTTCTAGTACAAAATAGATTTTCAAAGACAGATAATAAATAATCTATAAAAAAAAAATTGAATTTACTTTTAAACCCCAAATCCGTATAAGTAATAGTTTCTTAGTAACGTACCACAAAATTGTAAACATATAGGATAACTAGCTATCGCCCGCGACCCCGTTCGCGTGTTTGTCTAAAATATAAAAAAATAAAAATTCAGGGGGAACTACCCTTAACATTTAGGGGGATGAAAAATAGATGTTGGCCGATTCTCAGACCTACTCAATATGCTCACAAAATTTCATGAGAATCGGTCAAGCCTTTTCGGAGGAGTATGGGAACGAAAATTGTGACACGAAAATTTTATATATACAAGATTGAATTTACTTTTAAACCCCAAATCCGAATAAGTAATAGTTTCTTAGTAAAGTAGCACAAAATTAAAAATAAGTAAACATTATAGGATAGTATAAGTCTTCTCTCTTTGACAAAACTTCGATGTAATTAATAAGTAATTGGAAAATACTTTGTTCAAGGCAATTGAATCAACTACTGTTTGTATAACTTTAGTTATAAATCCATTAGGGAATCTAAGACCGTGTATGGCAGCCATTATGTGGTTTGAAGAATATCTCAACTTTGTCCACGGACGTCGCATACAAACTGACCACTTAATTAATTAATTTATACAAACATGTTAAGATGGAGTTTAAGAGATTTGCTAATTATAATTAAGTGCTTGTAATACCATTGAATATTATCATTTAGTTAAGTAACAAGGAGTTCCCTTAGTCTAGCTTAAGTATTGGACATCTATATTAAGCGACTGTTTTGTCTTTATAAAGCGTCTCTGAGTACAAAAATTTTTACACATAATTTTAATGATACTAATAGATATTTTAGTGTAGATTTGCTGGTGCCAGTTTCTCCCCCACATGGGTGGTATGCGTAATGCATTTCACTGGGTTGAAAAAAGAAAAAAAATTAGCAATGCTAGTTGTCTGTTCGGTTAGTACATTAGCAACTGCATGTCAACTGTATAGATTTGCTCCGTCATATTTAAAATCGCAGCGACTCTTCTCTTGACTTGACAAAAGGGTTGTAACGACTGTCTTTGGCGACGACGGAAAGAAAAGTCAGTGACTCGTGTTGCGTGCCTCTGACACTGTATTACGTAAGTACGTTTGACAACTGAAATTTTCTTTCATTTGTTTTAAACAAAAGCAACTAATCGTCTATGTTTCAGGGGGATTAGACAAAGTGCATTCACTTCAAAACGATTCCATAACGAATTTAAAAATGAATGAAATTGACGTGCGACAATCACATGACTTATCGAAAGTTACTGTCATTTCTATATATTTTTGAAGTTCGCTATGGAATCGCCTCGAAGCGAATGCTTTTTGTCTAACCCCACAGATGTTTTCCATTCATAATATAGATAGCTCGTTAGTATATTTCAATTGATTTCAAGTAACAAGGCGTAACATAGTAAGTATAAATCTGAGTTGAATCCGACGCTAAATCCTATGCAAAGTAAATGAAGGGATCGAATAGAAAGTAAATAAGATGCTTAAGGATCTTCATAGTAAGAATAAATTAATTATTTTAAAGAGAACTCTAGTCAAGTTACCTAGATAACAATATTTATCTATGCAGTCGCATCTATGATCACGCCAACACAGAAGACGGTCGTCAAATGATAGTAATTCCTCGCTTCGTTTGATGAGTGAGCGTTCCGGACTCCCTTTTCTTTTAAGGAAAGTATGGGAAGGGAAAGTGGATTTGGTAGGGGACACATAAGAAGGGGAAATATGCTTGTTTTGCATGTATCTATAATTGGGGATTTCTACGGCAGACGCTTCACAATTTCGGCGAATTCAGGTGGACGCTTGCTCGTTTGCCACATTTTACTAAAAAAAACAGGAACGCAAGAAATTGTGATCTCTGCTTACTTACTTAGACAACTGGCGTAAGTAATGTTATGTAATTAAATTTAAAAAAGTTGACTTTAAGGCTCCATGAGTAAGGTAACATTTTCTTTATATTTTCATACTAGAATGTTTCTCTACTACACGTCGCTGTTGTAAATTTCCAAGCGTCTATTAAACTTTCAAAGAAACATTTTAAAGCTAAATAATTACCTCCATTGCGGTATAGCGCAAGTTCTTTCCTTTTCCCCTTTCCTTTGTTAACGAAATATTTGAACTTTTTAATATTTCACCATCAAAGGAACTTACAGAGAAAAAAAACAAATTTAAGTATAAACAGATTTAATTAAATAAAATCTCGAATCCGAGTTATTACATGGTGACTTAATCAGACCCTTAGCGTAGATTTACCATAGCAATCTACTCTAAAGGTATTCGACAGTGACCATTCAACGAAAGAATTTGGTAGCACAAATTATAAAATATAGTAGACTAGAACAAAATCTATGCGTTATCTTCCTTCTTTGATTGTCTTTCTGCTTCCTCAATAGTGTCAGGCAGAGGTACGTTAATTGTCTCTGGTAAAGTAAACACAAGAGCACTGGCCACTACAGTTATACTCGCAAAGAATATAGCTGGCAGGTTGTCATAGTACAACGCCTGGAAAAAAAAATATTATAAATTTTATTAAAGACCAGTCATTCTGAAAGTAGAAGTAATATCACGTAACAAAGGTACCTTCACTGATATTAGTAAAATTTTGAAAAAAGAACTAAGAGAAAATAAGTCTTGGGAATATCTGTCACACACTGAAGTACTTATACAGAACAAAGAAATCCTAGATTCTTTTTAATTTCACGTAAACGAAGTAAGATATAACAATAATCTAGTAGGAGGTAACAATCTTACTAGTAATGGTGTAAGGGGTGCCAGTGTGGATCCGACGCGACCCAACGCGGAGCACACGGCCAGCAGTGATTGTCGTACGTTAGTGGGGAACACTTCTGACACGTAGATGTACACCGAGCTGTAAGCTACCGTAATGGAGAACTTCCCAGACAAGTAGATCACGAGAGATAACCATTTCTGATCTATAGAAACAAAGGTTACACTTAATTTTTTATAAGATTAGAAATGAACATCGGGTATACATCACATAATGATCATAGACGCCCATTGACATACGAAGTACGCTTTTTGTAGGACCCTAAGTACCCGGCTTTATCCGATGTTCTTACAATGAAAAAAACACCGTGATACAACCTGCTCATATATGCCAAGAAATTAAAAGCCAGCATGGTTACCACCCCTTACTTGGGGTAGACTCTGAGCTCATGAGCGGGAACGTAACGTTAATTGATGATGATGATAAGTCCAAATTTAAGAAATGGGCAGTAACATGGGCGTCGTTGAACATTTCGGTGTTCCCGCTGCTCGTTTGCCCCCTTCAGTTATAAAATAACAATTACTTTCCTATAATTTGATATGTTTTATTGTACTCCTTACTATAAGATACTAACCTTTTCGAATTAAAGAAAGACTAACACAGAAGCAAGCACTCAACAAATAAGTCGATGTCAATGTTCGTTTTCTACCAAATTTCTCCAACACATACAAACATACAAAGTTTGCTGGAATCTCAACGAAAGCTACCAACATGAAGTTTATGTATTTGTTACCAGCTAACGACACAGAATTTATTGACAGTCCGTAATACACAAAAGTGCAAGTTATCCATAGAAAAGAACAAACTGCTACTCTTTTTCTAATGATACTTGATTTCAATGCTTGGAGAAAAGATGATTCCGTTTTTCCTTCGTTATTTGCGACCTCTTTACTCTTTGGATCTTCTGTTCCTAATTTGAATAAAGATGATAGAGAGTCATCGGAAATGTGTACTTTATTCATATTGCTTGCTTTCTTTAGTATTTCAACTGCTTCTTCATGACGACCTTTACTAAGTAGCCATCTGGCACTTTCATTTAGAATCCAAAGGTATGAAAATACTAGTAGGGCTGGAAAGTATAAGATCCGAAGTAGTTTCCTCCAGTTTTGAAGCCACCAGGCAAGACCAGCTAGAGTCATCGAGCCGAAAACGTATAAAACGTTGATTAATGTATTTCCAAAAACTCGCCCCTTAGGCCCGACGATTTCCATAGCTAAAAATCACAAATTTACGTAAAATATTATATCTTTCATCTGAAAAACGGCTAAACTCTCACACGGCGACGGGGTCCGCGAAATAATACCAGTCCCACTCACCCTGATGAAGGGCAACCGATGGGCTCGAAACTAGTCGGTGCCAACACCGGACAAATATACGTGAGTGTTTAGCCCTTTTTATATAAGTTTATTATAATGTCTCCTTTGTATATTTAGAAGGTAAATTTGTGAGAATTCCATTTATCTTTATGAATTTTGTTGGTTTTGAGAATACTAATAAAAATCCGTACTGCGATAATTACTTCTCAGAATTTATATCATGTAACTTAAAAGACAGTAAAAATGATATAAGACATTGAAATAAGGGACCCTTAAAAGAAAATTAAAAATTTATTAAAAATTTAGGCAAAAAATCTCACTAGCTTAAGGTCAAGAAACCTGAATAAATACTAGCAATTTGTCGCTGCGATGAATAATCTTTGTTGATCAACGTAATTAGAAAAAAGATTCGGGTCACATAAAACTGGTAAACATCAGTACAGATTGTTCCGACCTTAGTACATTTGACTACCTTACATAGATTGTAGTTGTACGCTTCTTTCCCCATTTCTCAGACTCCTGAAGTAGGTGGCTTACCGAAAGGTAAACAGATACGACAGAAATGTCGTAGTACAAAGAATTTCTTGAATGCTGGTATAACTGTACTATAGTCAAAAGACGATATCTATTGTCATCCCTTTCATTATGTTTGACAAAATGGAGACAACAATATGTAATACGGGAACAAAATCACATTTACATATTGTATCTACACCATTGTTGAACTTACCTAAAACAAAAGCTGTACTATATGCTCCTGCGCCTAAGGAAGCTTCCAGAAATTCCATAGCAATCATCATGTAGTAATTAGTTGAGAAAGATCTTGTGATACCAAATATACCATTCATCAAAGAAGCTATTGGTAAAGCAACTTTTCTTCCGAATCTATCAGATAACATTCCAGTTAGTGGCAAAGATACAAATAGACCAGAGTTATGTATCGTGCCAATTAATGTTCTCTTCCAGTTTTGGCAACCAAGATCGAACTATAAAATTAAATAATATAATACTTTAATATCTTTATCTTATAAATAAAATAAGGAGGCAATTAGAGAAACACCGAGGTGATCAATGACACCCATGGACATCCACAACAGCAGAGGAACTACAGATGCGTTGCCAGCCTTTAAGGAAATGGTATGCTCGCATCTTGAACGACCCTAAGATTTTGCTTGATATCCTTGTTACTTTAATGGTGGATACTTCTGGTTAGCAACAGCTTAGAAGATGATATATTCTGGTTTTACAATGCAACTAAATAGAACAACAAAGTCAGGATTATTTTGTAAAGACGATACTTTCTAAATGGTTGGTTAGAAACGACTTTTGATACAAACGACGTCTTTGCTGTATTTGGACCTTCAAAATAAGTAGCAGAAGACATAGCCAAGTATAATATAAGTAGCAGATTATGAATAATGGGCACCCAATAGGATAATTTTTTTTTTTTAATTAACTGGCATTTTATTAAAGTACTTCTAGCCATAGATGTCTTCAAGAGTCTTGTCATCGCGACTTAAATTTCACTTCGTTGGTAATCATTGTTATCATAGTCAATGATAAATTTAATACTCTTTAGCTTTACATTGTTCGCTTCTGATATAAATTTATAGCTGGTACTTACATCCTTCACCGCTGAGTCTTCATCACTGTATACGTATTTATCACATTGTTCTACAACAACTTCGAAATCCTTTTGTGTACATGTAACATTACTTTGACTGTAGTTTCCCGTAAATTGGTACCGTTTGCATTTTGATAAATCATTTTTATCTCGTGGTATCGCATATTCTAGCCAAAGACTTTCATTGATTACTTCGCATTGAGTAATTTCACATCTGCAATAAATCCAAATTAAAATTACTTGCATCTGAATTGTGATGTTGATCATCATCATCGCAAAGCAAACAGCCTTCGTCTGTCTACTACTGGGCATAGGGCTTTGATGATGATACCAAGGTTTAAATGCGCAGGAACGGATTTCAGTGCGCTGGTAAAGCAAGATTCAGTGAATTGACAATTCGCACATAATGAGAGTGCATCGACCAAAAGCAGACCATGATCTGGGATTGTAGTCCCTACATTTCACTGTACCTCATAACCTCATTAAAATAATTCAATATCTATTAAAACACAACTAACAATAATGTACGTAACCATATAATGTGGAAGAAACGAAGGAGATTATAAGATTGTGCGAAATGTTATCGATATTTTTGGTTTTGAAAGTTGGGAAACAATCTAATTCAGAGATACCAAACAATGTGTCGATGTAGCGTTTATGGCTTTCGGCACATGACTATCGCAAAGCCTCGCCGGAGCTAACACAGAATTGCATTCAAAGCCCATATTTAGTTTATGAATAAACTGCAACAAAAGCAGATATAACTGTTCAATTTAAAGATAAATTTGGCTTTCCTTTTATTATTTTCCGATGTAACATTGTAATATAATCTGTAGATAAGATTGTCTCATTGATAGCAAAATATTCGACCTTGAATTGGATTGTTTGTTTTTAAAGCGATATATATATTCTAAAGGTTTCAAAAAGAGTAAAGAGTTCTTTTCCACTGCGACTAACATGTGTACTCAGTGTGGCTCAGGGGTTTCAACACTTGACTTGTAATCTGCAGGTCCTGGGCTCGAATCCCGCCATGTACTTTTCGATTTCCGATTTGCATATGTACATTTATCCGACGTTCTTAAGGTGAAGGAAAACATCGTGATGCAACCTGCACATATCTGAGAAGATATTCAAAGATATGTGTAAAGACAACCAACCCGCACTTGGCCGGCGTGTTTGACTAAGGCCTAGTCACCCCTCACTTAGGGTAGGCTCCGAGCCCCTCGGTGGGGACGTATACTGAGCTGATGATTACGTTAACCTTTCGCTCCTTTATTTCTCATTCACTAGCACTACTTTCAAACTTCCTCTAATACACACAATTGATAATATGAAATGCGACCGTTGTTTTTCTCTTACTTTAACATGAATAATATTTATTTACAATAAAGTGCAATAAATATTATGCTAAGGTTAATTCTCGTACGTATTAGCTTCGATACTGAGAGTAAATAGAAACGGAAAGCTTACAAGGGAATGCAAATGTATGATAATAGGTGCTTAGAGGGTGGCAGAGTATGCTCGGTAGACTGTACACTGAATAATGAACATTATAACGTTGCAGTAGAGTTCAAAATGCAATTTTAACGTTCTGTACACTGCTGTAATGCATTCTAGACTAAGTGAATATTGCTTCAAGGTTTTCCTGGCGGTGAAATAATTAATAATACATTAACTATTTAGCGCCAAACGCCATCTGGATTTCAATTACGTAACTTTATATTTATTTTACGCTATTACTTTTTCAATTAATTTGCGACAATTGTGTGTCTGGCAGAGGTAAATTTTTTATAGGAGAACTTGTTTTTTTCTCGAACGTATTGTTTAATTTACGAACGATCCTGCTTCATAATATAAAAGTGTTGGATTACTAACAAATAAATTCACAGATAATAGTCAAAACAGTTTTACGTTTCACAGCTTATTAAGAGATTTTAAAACACCAACGACGATTTCATTTGAAGAATAAATTAGCTTATAGCCTATTTGGACATTGTGAAATAGGCCTTCGGTTTAATCGTGTTTGGATGGATGGAGCGATGGAAAACAGCTGCAAAGATATCACTGAAATTTGTTATAGATGTGGAACATAGCTTGGAAGAACACATATAATTCAGTTTTTTTTTTAATTCCGCACGAGCGGAGTCGCGGGCGACAGCTAGTAACCAATAATTGTTTTTTTAATTAACATCGATAGCAGTGTAAATGATGTCAGATGTTTCAACACCGCGAATGGACGTGACTGTACATTGGACGGGTATTTGGATTTGGGATTGAGAAGGGCCACAAGTAGTATAATATAAAATATATATCAAATGAATTCAAATACTATGTATATATATGTATATTTGTACCTACCTGTAGTCTATATCAGATGCTTCAAACACATAAATAGATGAGTACATTCCCGCCAAATATATTGGAAATAATAATAGCGCATAATTCACAATATTATATTTGCCAAATGGTCCAAGTTGCTTCAAAATCACATCCAAGTCAAATGGTTTATCACTAATTTTATCTTTAGCCATTTTTCAAATAAAAATCTTATCAAAGAAAATTAATTAAAAAAAACTTTACGATCGTCAGATTTTAATTGACAATTTTATAAAACTCTATCGACTCATAAAAATGCATAACTTTAGTATACCATGGAACATTTCAAATATTTTTACTAAGACAAATTAAACTCGACACAACACAACAAAAACTCCGTTAGTGTTAAATTTACAAAGATGTCTTACTTTTAATTAAAAAAAAAACTCAATGCAGGTGACGTTCTTCCATTGGATACCTCTTGTGAGATAAAATCGTATCGATTGACAAATCACTAAAACATCTTTATCTCTTCAAGATAATGCATCATTATATATATTTAAGCAGCAAAAGTTTGGATGTATGGATGTTTGTTAGAAGATATCTCCAAAAGGTCTCAACAGATCTTGATAAAATATGAACATAAGGATAATTAAGGATAAATTGGAAAAATACCTTTTAAGTTTTTATTTTAATTCAACGCGGACAGAGGGCGTTGTTCATTCTATAATTGGTGAAGTGAATAACGCATTTTATGTATTTTACCAGCCAGAAACTTATTTAGATATTCATAAAATAGTTAATATAATATAGATTTAAACATAGGGGTTCTTCAAAGCGACTGATTGTAGTAGCTTGGTCTGTTAAATTTACTTGGAAAAGACATTGGCTATTTTTTTATTAAGGAAGCAAAGTCTCAAACATAAGTACATATAACTATAAGATTATTCATGTAAACTAGATTTAGATTAGTATATAAAATATGGTATAGTAATTCGAGTAGCAAACCTTTGTTAACAGGCCGCGAATCAATAATAAGTAGAAGGCAAACATGATCGAGTTTGGGATCAGGTAAAATATTAGGTACAATCACCTTCATACGCGGTGTTCCACCTTAAAAGTAATTATAGCACGTAACGTTAGCAAATGTGGTAACAAAAACGTGTGTTAAAAATAAAATAGTTGGAGATAAAGATTCAGTTTGGATCTTATTAATATTATAAATGGGAATGTTGAATGGATGTTTGTTTGAAGGTATCTCCAGAACGTCTGTATGGATATCGCTGTAATTCGGCACGGATGTAGGACATAGCGTGAAAGAACACACAGGTTAGTTATTAAGTTTTTTTTTAAAATTCCGGATGAAATCACGGGCGATAGCAACCAATAAAGTTTTTTTAATAAACATCGATAGCAGTCTTATTGTTTGTAAATAGAGGTAAGGGTCAAGTTCAACACTGCGAATGGACGTGACTGTACATTGGACGGGTATTGACTTAATTCAACGCTTAATGAACGGAAACTTAGAGTGGATGACTGGGACTTTGATCGTTAGTATTCGTCGTTAAATTTGAATTAACCTGTATAGATATCTACTTACGACCCCAGCTTATGTCGTGGTATAAATGTTAAAATAAACTCATTATGTTCTTAAGAGAGGTTTAAGAGGCAAAAAGGTCATTCGCCCTTCATCTTGGCTCATGTTACATTAATTTATTTTATTATAAATTCTAAAATCATCAAAGTGTAAATTACTGTAATACAAAATAAACTAAGTAACTAAAATTACTAGTACATAGTTTAATTTTAGCAAACTGATGAAAGTCGTTTGATGAATTACTTTTGCGCCTGTTATAATATTGCGGCAATATCTACTCAGCGTGATATTGCAAATACTACACAATAGGCGAAAATAATTTATTGTTGAGAAAATAATGTTTTGATAGCACTCTTTGAGCTATGAAAAGAAAAACAAATATTACCAAACATTATATTAAGGGTCATTTTTTGTTCAATCGCAAAGAAAACGGACTACGTGGTACGGTAAAAACATAAAGGAAACGATATACCATAACAAAGACATCATACTACAATATAAATTACTAGCTAAACATTGTCTGGGTAAAATATATTTATATTTTTTTTAATAAGCAAAAATTGTTTCCCGAAAAAATGATTTCTATACAATGTTAATAATATTCAAAGTGCCTGCATGTATTTTGGCACTAATTAAAGAAACAGCCAACAATAATTACGTTTTATATCTCAAATTTACACAACATTGAACGCTCTAACAAAGTTCATTATCTATTTCCCCTCTCGGCTCCACCATGACCCTCCCTGTCACGCAACCCCACTTCAAACTTTACCCCTCGGATCTTTCCCTTACCAGACTCTTCATGCCTTGTAATTTACCTGGAAGTATGGAAAAGGCTTTTCAAATTTCGATTTGTTCGACATCAATGTAAAATACTACTTAAGATTCCTACAATTAAATTTATTCTGTGAAATAAACAATTCACACAGGCGCTTTTTTTACGCCGCGTTAAAACTAGGCGTTAATCGACGAACACTTTAAAACTACTCTTGTTTCTTGCGTTCAGTGTTCAAAATCCAACATTGCGCGATAAAAAAAAGCTTCGCGTTTTAAACGCATTGATAAACAGATACATGGAAATGTATTTTATATGCATATTTGTTTTGGTTGAATAATGCGGGCTTATTCGTTTAAAAATATTTGCTATAACGTGACCATAGGCGTTACTTCTCTTTTTGTGATTTTAGCTTAAAAATACATCAGACGTCTTTCCTAATATTATCTTTTAGATATGGAGTTAATAATATAACATAGGATAAATAAGTCCTATGTATAAACGAATTATTAAATAAAAATAAAAGAAAATTTAGGGAACGTACCCATACTACCGTGACCTGTTTAGAGGGCGGGGGAGCGGAGTCTTTAAAATACTACGGTCAGTCACAGAAGCGGGGGGGGGGGGTGCATATTTTAGTCACGTAGTCGATATTTGTTTTTTTTTCATGAACCATAATAAACTAGTAATTTATGTATGCATGCAGTCTTATGCCATAAAGAAGAGTATGAGCAAAATTATTTCTTTTTCAATTTTTACCTGTGAAATTATTAAAAATCATAATTATGAATTACTTCGTAAAAACTTAAGGTGGGTCTTGGTATGTACTACGAATGGTCACCGAGGGGTGGGAGGGGTCGAAAAAACTAAAAAAATAGGTCACGTAGTATGGGTATGTTCCCTTACGTGATCTTGTTCGTCTAATTTTATATATATGGTAAGTTTAAATTTAAATGGAATTTTCATGTAACGTAGAACGAATGCATTTGCAACATTGATAACATAAAGAAATGTTTTCAATATCACAACATTTCAAGAACTAGAATTATGCATTAAAATACATCGACCCTTTTATAAAAGACATAAAATTTATTATGTTCATAAAAATATAATTGAGTGCATCTGGAATATAATTTACACAAATATCGTCACCGTTCATTATATTATATTTAAAGGGCGTTATTTTTTAATACTACTGTATATTTTTATTACTACCGGTGTATCGGCGCAACACTAGCCTTATTAAAATGTCAACGTTTATGTCCCCTCACTAATCAATCTGACACTTGATTTGGTTACGAAAGCGCGCCATTCGCGCCAAAGGATTATAAATAATCTATATAAATAATGTTCTTTAGTCTTGCTAAAAATCGAGAAGGGCTGAACGGACTTAACTTGGTCATGTTCGCGTAAGTCTAGGGAAGGCTTAAAAGATGAGAAAAAGTCGAATAATTGCCAGGTACTAATTAAGTTTTTTTAAACCGGAGTCGCGGGCGACAGCTAGTAATGTCTAAAAATGATCTATAGGTCACAAATATGAAAGAAAAAAAACTTTACTAATACCTAGTATTAGTTAAGAACGTTCCTTATATATTTTTAAATTAGCCCAAAATACTTTGTAGGTAAACGTCAAATGGGAAACTTTGGCGTAAATTAGTGTCGTTGCCAAAATTAAATTAGTCGTTCCTGTTTCCAATAAAGTGGTAATTTCCTGGAAACATCAAGTTCGTGTAGCTATTTTATTTTTAAGAAGACGTAACACGATTATTTTTGAGTATAAAAGCAATATACTAGGACCGCGGCAAATAGAAATCCCTATTCTATGCTCACCCCACTGGGCAGTATGTATACAAAATTGTTATCATAGTAAAATAAAAAATATAAATTGTTGTATGTTATCAGATGTCGACAGTATCTTGAAATGCATTATCACGAAAGAGAAATAAAAAAGCAAATTATCAAATAATTACGAAACAGACATTATCTCGGCTATTTAAAATTACATCCACGATACAACAACGTACGACGGCATGATCGATCTATCTATTGTTATCTCGCTCTGTATCATACATTTTAATTGACATATTAAAACTCCATCCTTGTCTAACAATCCGGAACAATACGACGCGTGTACGAGTCGCAGCTTGATGTTCTTGTTTATTTTTGTCTGTGGTACAACGTGTGTTGCGTTCGTGTCGTGTGAATGCAAAAAAAAAATTAAAAAAAAAATTTCTTTCGAAAAATATTATCATTATTAATCTGTGAAATTTCTAACGCGCATGCGTTGACAAACGTCAAGAAGCTTAGTCGAAACAAGCGTCAAAATAACACGTGCTTGCGAAAAAGTGCAAATGCTAACAAATGCTGTTTTAATAAAATAAATTAGCTTTTGTATTATTGTACATTAAATAATGGCCAAAGACGTTAGTGCTAGTGAAACGATTGATCTCGATTCTATTTTAAAACAGCTCGGTGCTTTTGGAAAGTATAACATTGTTAATTATGCTTTGTTATTATTCCCCATTTTTTTGGCGGGAATGTATGGATCTGTGTTTGTATTCGAAGCTCCTGATATAACTTACAGGTCAGTATAACTAAAACTTATCTGTAATGTAGATTATAAAAAAGGTACGAAACAAGTTTTGGCAAAAGCTTCGTCCGTGGCAACCGCGAATTTTTGTTTCAAGGTCAAGCAATATTTTTAGCCTATTTAAATAAAAGATTTCATTTAATTCTTTAACCTGATATATTTTGTATTTGCAATTATTTTTAGTAGACAAAATTATAATTAACACGTAGTTATTTTATCTCTTTAAAGGTTATTCTTAGTATAATAGAGTCAGCGTACGCATGCGTAATTTTTTTTCTCAACTCGTTAGCTCTCCCCCAGGAGATCCCATTCTCCATTAATATTCTCGCTTAGGTTCTTTTGTACCTTTGTTGATTACACTAGTACCGAGAAAAGCAAACAATTTTGTTACATATTACCTAATTGGCGATCTATTCTATCTCTTATTTACAAAGACTTTTAACATATACATACTAATATTATAAATGCGAATGTTTAGATGGATGGATGTTTATTTGAAGGGATCTTTTTTATATTATAAGGTGGCAAACGAGCGAGCGACCGCCTGAAATCACTGATATAGTGAAGTGACCGTTGCCCATAGACATACGCAATTGCATATGCGTTGCCTACCTTAAATCGATCTCCAAAACGGCTGCATGAATGACAATAATAGCATAATCTGGAAGAACATGTAGGCTACTTATTAAGTTTTCTTTAATTCGCGCGGACAGTATCACGGGCGACAGCTAGTATTTATATAAACTGTTTTTGTCATTCATCAATTTGTAAATAGTATGTGATAAATGTATGATTATGAACTATTCTCGTCAAAACCGGACGAAAGACGCTAAGGTCAGGAACTAATGACTTGAAGATGCTTCCGCAATTCTAGGACGATTGCTCAGATTGTTTTGTTCCTTCTATTCATGGCTTTAGCGATATCTAGGAATAAGTATGCAACAATAATATTCCGTATCAAAAAAGGTTTCAATTGGAATAAAATTAGTACCTGGATGACCGGAGATTGGCTCTGGTTTTTTTTTTTATTGTGTTTTTTGGATATTATATTTAAGTACGAATTACTAATAAAATGATGAAATATGAATAATATTTTTCGATCTTACCGATAGAAAAAGTTAAGTTTATGTTTAAGTTGATTATCGATAAAACACGAATAAAATGACATTTTCTAAAAATGATTCCTAGCTAGATCGATTTATCGCCCCCGAAACCCCCTATATACTATAATAAATTTTATGAAAATCGTTGGAGCCGATTCCGAGATTCCAATTATATATATATACAAGAATTGCTCATAAGAATAAAGATATAAGATAATCACAATATGACGCGTAAAAATCGTATTCATTTTATTAAAAAACTTAAATTTCAGAAATAGTAAAATTAATATTTTTTATTTCGATATTTTGGGTAAAATATTTTTATTGATGTACTAGCATTAGCCCGTGACTCCGTTATACGGTATTATAAATAAAATTTATAAATAGCCAATGTGTTCTATATTAATGCGATCTTGCGATATCTTCTAACAAACATCCATCCATACAAACATTCGCATTTATAATATTAAGATACATTTTATATGAAAACTTTCAAAGTAATCGCGAACGTATTTGAATTACATAACGCAGTGTATGATATTAGTACAAAAATATGTCTAAATTCAATGCATATTATCTTAATGAATAATTAAAACAACACTACAATTATTGGAATATCTAAAGTGCATTTTATATGAGTGCATCATAAATTTGTATGTAATCTTACGGTTTGTTATAGCGTTATCGAACGTACAGATTTTTATTTATTTCTTTTTGATTGTTGCCCTTCACTCTATCCACTTGACTTACAATCTGAAGGTACTGGGTTCGAATCCCGCCATGTACCAATGTGTTTTTCTATACCCGATTTACATATGTACTTTTATCCGACGTTCGTACGATGAAGGAAAACATCGTGATGCAACCTGTACATATCTGAGAAGAAATTCAAAGATTATGTGAAGTCAACCAACCCGCACTTGGCCAGCGTGGTTGACTATGGCCTAATCACACTGAACTTAGGTAGGCTCCGAGCCGCTCGGTGGGGATGTATAGTGAACTGGTGATGATGATCGATGTGCTAAGAGTAGCATTTCGTAGACCGTTTATGGATTATCGTTTCATTTTCACGGGTATCACGACTTTTAAATCTTATATCGTACATCACTATGTACTATATATAAGATATATAAGAACTAATATACTGAGGGATATTTATTTATATGTTATTAAGTGTCAAACGAGCAAACGGCCATCTGAATTCGCCGGAATAGCGAAGCGTCCGCTGCTGAGTCATCCGCAATTGCAGATGCATCACAGAAAGAAATATTACATTATTTCCCCTTCCTATGCGTCTCATCCTCTGCTAAATTCACTACCTCTTCGCAACTTATTATAAGAAAATAGTTCAGAGGGGAAATTTTAATTAAATTTTGTAAAATATAAGTAAATTGTCATCAGAGATAAGGAAAATTACATTAGGGACTCTTTATTACAATATTTATCGCTATCGCAAGCGAAACCACGTGTGAAAGCTAGCTTATATATATTCATTTTGAACAATATTTTGTACATATATGTTAACTAGTTAGTAATAATATTGTACATACATAATGTTGGTTGTTTTCGAACTATATTCAAGTTTGCAAGCTGTTATCGTGGCAGCGAATCTAAACACAAACCTTGAACAATGCAACTGATAATGAACGTATGATTTATATTATTTGAACTTATATAAATAATATTAATATAATACATAACAACATGTCCTGATAGCTGGGAATAAATGAGATTAATTAGAAAGGAGTATTTATGTTACAAGGATAGAAGACAGGCGTGAAGTGGAAGCAATTCCGCGTTTCGTCTGATGAGTGTGCGTCCCGGAGGCCTAATATAGTCCTCTTTCCCTTCCTACCCCTTTTCTTATAAGGAAAGGGTGCGAAGTGGAAGTGGACTTTCCGGATGAGAAGATGCATGGAATGGGAAGATATTTTCTTTCTGTGCATCATCTCCTCCGTAAATTAAAGGTAGGCAACTCATATGCAATTGCGTATGTCTATGGGCAACGGTCACTTCGCTATTTCAGCGATTTCAGGTTGCCGCTCGCTCGTTTGCCACCTTTTGATATAAAAAAATACGGTCGTCCTACTCACTCTCTCAGAGAGGTGGGGCACCGCCCAGGGCACCTGGCCCCTTAGAGACAGGGTTGTCTTTGGAAGATTTCCCCTGACACCAAAAAACGGGGCGCAAAAATTTCGCTCGGGGCTCCCAAACCGCTTAAACTGGCCCTGCAAATGGAATAGTAAACTAAGTGTAATTCAAGCAAATAGAATTTTTAACTATACAGAAAATGCTAAGCTAGAAATTTCTGGGACAATTTTAGTCACGAACGATTTAAAAAACAAAGCGAGGCGAAAACGTGGATCGCATCATTAAATTTGGCAGCGCCGGACGAGTCGACGTTTTTTTGGTAAGAAAGGAAATGCTTTCATTTAACGTTTCCTTTCTTAGTTAGAACAAAGGACTTTGCTAAGTTTCGTTTTGCGTGATAGTTTTAAATTTATATTATTTTTTCGATTATTTATAAACTGGAAATTGAAATAATTTTTGCCATATATCACAAATCTAAGGGTTTAAAAGCGTTGGTGGCTCATCGGTCAAGCACTTGACTTGCAAAATGCAGGTCCTGGGTTCGAATCCCGCCATGTACCAATGTGTTTTTCGATTTCCGATTTACATATGTAGTACATTTATCCGACGTTCTTATTGTGAAGGAAAACACCGTGATGCTCATATCTGAGAAGATATGTGTGAAGTTAGTCAACCCGCACTTGGCCAGCGTTGTTGACTATGGCCCCTAATCACCCTTAACTTAAGGTAGGCTCTAAACCCCTCGGTGGGGATTATGATGAATATTAAAAAATGAAATGTTCGTATAGATAGATGGATGTTTGTTAGAAGACATCTTCATAACGGCTGCATCTCACTGAAATTTGGCACAGATGACGAAAATAATCTGGAAGAACACATGGCTAGCTAGGTTTTTTTTTATTCTGCATGGACCGCGTCATGGGCGACAGCTAGTGAAGAATTTTGCCTGAAACTATACTTCTAATCCTATGTTATGAATGTAATTCTTTATTTTATTAATTTGCATTATATGAAATTATATTCCGAGTACTTTGTAAAGTATATTCCGAGGTCAAACAACCAATGGCCAGTGTAAAATAACTGAAATATACCAGGGTGATCGTTAATCTGGTAATAAATACGATAGCTATCAACACAATCATTATAACAAAATTAATATCAGCTCGACGCACGACTATGATTGATTGCCCGAGGATCAGACCCTTTGTAAGTGATAGCGACTGCTCGTGTGGTCCAAGTTAGATACTGTTTGAGTATACTGATTTTATTAACTACTCTATGTTACTAATATTATAAATGCGAATGTTTAGATTGATGGATGTTTGTTTGAAGGTATCTCCAGAAGCTGCATGGATCTTGCTTTAATTTGGCATAGATTTAGAACATCGTCTGGTACGATATTGTCTAAACAACACAGTAAGTTTTTTTTTTCATTCAACACGGACGGAGTCGCGGGCGATAGCTAGTATGTTATAAACTGGGGATTTAGGTGTCAGCAACCCACAGCTTGTAGTCAACTCCAACGTCGCTACAGAACAAAATTACGAATAGTTTTTTGAGATAAGTGATTTATATAAAGTTGAGAGAAGGAGAAGCATTGGTCTAATTTTACAAAATACGCGTTCGCTTTTAAATTAATATGTTTAGTTAAATTCTGAATTACATGCCATCGATCTGTAATGAAGTATCTCTCGAACGTATCTGAGCGTTGAAAACGATATTATTAATGACTACCTGTCGCCCGCGACTCTATCCACGTATATAAAATAGTTTAATTATAATTAGTACCTGGATGACCGAGCTTTGCTCGGTATTTTTTTTTAATTGTGTTTTTTGGAAATTATATTTAAGTACGAATTACTAATAAAATGATTAAATATGAATAATATTTTTCGATCTTAACGATAGAAAAAGTTATGTTTATGTTTAAGTTGATTATCGATAAAACACGAATAAAATGACATTTTCTAAAAATGATTCCTAGCTAGATCGATTTATCGCCCCCGAAACCCTCTATATACTAAATTTTATGAAAATCGTTGGAGCCGATTCCGAGATTCCAAGTATATATATAGATAGATATAGAAGATATAAGATAAGATAACTAAAAGTAGTCTATGTGTCTTGCCAGATTATGTTCTATATATATCCCAAGTTTCATCGAGATCCATACAGTTGTTCTGGAGTATCTTCAAACAAACATCCATCCATACATCCAAACATTCACATTTATAATATTAGTAAGATAATACTGTAAATAAATTCTGATGACTGATTTATTTCTGTGGCGTATTGATTGGATTCCTTTGATGTTTTTTTTCTCTCGTAGTTGTTTATTTACGATCCTTTGTACTATATTAAGGATATATGAGTTTTATTCGTTATTATTTTTATTTATGAAAGAATTAAAACAATAAGACTAACACTCATATATCAGTCATGTTTCGAACCACACTCATCAGTATGACACATTTGTTGACAAACTGTAATTCTCTGCATTTATATGTTGGGTACATAAGCAAGTATATAAGTATATAAACTAATGCATCGTCTTCTACATTATTAGTTCATTAGCAGAACTGTAAAATAAATTTTATATCCTATCTTATATATAAAATTCTCGTATCACAATGTTAGTTATATTCCTAAACGGCTTGATCGATTTTTAAGAAATCGCGCGCGGACGGAGTCGGGGTCTTCAGCTAGCAATCTAAATAATTTCAAATACTGTCATTTTGGAATCAAAAAGTTTTATTCGATCTTAAAATATGTGCTACAATTTTGATTTATTACAATTGAATTGAGTACTTATAAATAGCCTTATCAAAGGCCGGCAACGCATCTGCGGTTCCTCTGGTATTGCTGATGTCCATGGGCGTCGTTGAACACCTCGGTGTTCCCGCTGCTCGTTTGCCCACTTCTGTGATAAAAAAAAATATATAGTTTCATTTTGTTTATTAGAATTCAACTAAGAAATAAACTATTGGAACTAGTAACAGCGTGCATTCGTTGACTTTGTTTCAGAAAGTGGAACGAAATTTTGTTATTATAAATATTTACATTTGTCGAGCAAAAGTTGCAACTTTACCAAATAAACCCGCAAGACGAATTCGTTGAATTATTAATATTCAAATAAACATTCTGTCGCTTAACTGATTCGAATAATCAATTTGTAAATATAAATATTGAAAAAAAATTATATCGATGTTTATTAAAATCATTTTTTCTTTGATTGAGCGAATGTACTTTTCTTAGAGACCAAAAAATTATTTCTTATGTAAGCGAGTTAAAAAAAACAAAACCCTAAGAAAAGGGTAACTTCTGTAAAGTCGGCAAAACATCAGAAAAGTGTGAAAGAAAGAAAAGTTTTTATTATAGGTAATACAGATTAAACCAAGAAACAATAACTAACATAATAAAATTGCACATAACTAAGAAATTAAATTAGACTTAACTTACCATTTTTGGTTAATTTGGATAATCTAGTGATACCCACAGTAGGCAATGCCTGTATCGTGGGCGCCGATGATGATGAGTGAAAACTTTAACTTCAAGCCTGTTTTCTATGCGTTCATTTATGCAGGAGCTAATCTTTCTTTGGATTCTACAATTGACATTAGTTTTTTTTACAGATGTGAAATCAGCCAATGTGAAGATGTGAATAAAAGTATGTGGTTAGAACATGCAATACCGCGTGAAAAAGATAATTTATTATCAAAATGCAAGCAGTACCAATTTATTGGAAACTACAGTCAGAACAATGGAACGTGCAGTGAACGAGATTTCAATAAAGCTGTTGTAGAAGAATGTGAAAAATATGTGTACAGTGATGAGGATTCAGCTGTGAAGGATGTAAGTTAAGAAATATCAGGATCCAAGTATTTTGTTTTGGTAGTAGACAAATCAGTAAAACTTGTCTTACCAGAGTGACTTGGGCACTCACTATACCTTTCGATGTTCAACCTTGGCCTAGTGACTTGGAGGCAGATCTCTTTCTACCTCATAATTCCAGTAAAGTTCCTCAAGTAATGGTTCCAATATTTGGAAGAATGCGAATCAAATATTGGTTAAGCTTTTTATCTTACAATTCATTGAACGTTTCATTTATAGTTTCATCAAATACGCTAGTTACGATACTTCAGTAGTACAAATAACTTAGTAGTTATCGGTCATTTTGATAATGTATCTCTGAGCTGCTGCTGACTGATATCTCGATCAGGGATCAGACGTTGATATTTGTAAGATAACGTACACAAATATAATCATCAAACTATCAATACTGGTTAGTTTTTATTATTATATACTTTAATCTCCTTCTATCTTGTTTTGAATAACATATCTTGTGCTACTTGTTTGCTTATAAGTTTTTATTCAAAGCTTACAAAGGTCCTATATCTATACAAACTTTAGAATAATGGAGATAAAATTATAAAGTTGGATAATAGGATAGGGAATTGTAAATTTATTGACAATCGACCTACTAGGCGTTCGCGGATACAAAATGCGGTCCTAACTTTATGAAAGTCTTTGTGATAGACGAAGTAAAGGAGAGGAGAGGGTTAAAGATAGGACTATGTTCCTGTTCATTCCTCACACACCCACCGCCGAATTCACACGTGCTGCGCGTGCGCGACGAGTGATGTTCCGTGCTAGAGGCGTGGTGATAGCTTATCGTGAGGAATGTGGGTTGGTAGGCCGAGCCACGATATTCTAGACAGTGTCGCAATTTTTAACTGCCAATATAAAGTAGCAACAATAAAGATTTTACAATTAGTTATCTTAAGCTTTATATTTGTTCTAGTTTTTGTATTAATAAGATTTATTTTATAAGTACGACTAAGTCTTTAAAGTAAAAATTGATTACGCTTCTTATTTTTGTCATAACCAATGTCTTTTTAATCAACTGAGACCTCAATTTTGACGATGATTCTAAATAGCCCATAAGTAGTAGTTCAGATAATTACATTTATTTTTCCTTATTACCATGTTAATAGCCATAACCCTATAATTAACTGATATCTCCTTTGTTTTAGTTCAACCTCGGTTGTCAAAATTGGAAGAGAACTTTAATAGGTACGATACACAACTCCGGTCTTTTCCTTTCCCTGCCATTGACGGGGATAATTTCCGACAGATATGGAAGAAAGATCGCCCTATCAATAGCTTGCTTGATGAACGGCATCTTTGGCTTCATCAGATCTTTCTCAACCAGTTACATTATGATGTTAATCTTTGAATTTCTCGAAGCTGGTTTAGGGGCAGGCGCTTACAGCACAGCGTTTGTATTAGGTAAGTTCTTTATTAGTTTTCAGTAGTAAATAATCTGTAATCTGCAATGGCCCTTTAATTATAAAGTTCCATCATTAATTTGATAGATTCATTTTGATTACTTCAGGCCGTAGGTCTTCGCCAAAACCTTTCCGCATTAGTCCAGGAGGGTTAGGTAAAGTGCATTCGCTCTAAAGCGATTCCATTGCGAATTTAAAAAATGTACGAAATTGACGTGCGACAGTCATATGACTTATCAAAAGTAGATGTCAGTTCTATACATTTATTAAGTTCGCTATGGAATCGCTTCGAAGCGTATGCATTTTGTTTAACTCCTTAGGAATGATCAAACATTTCGATGACTCCTGGTCTATGAGAAATCTTATGTTTCATTGTTATGACACTAATAACATTAATATAGAGAGAATAATTATAACAAAAAGCGTACAACAATTACAATCAACGTAGGTGTCAAACACAGAGGACCAACCAATCTGCGCTCGTGTTTACCTGTTCCACTGCGACCCGAATCTTTTCTCTAATTACGTCGCACAACAAAGGGACCCCATTCATTATCCCAGCGTCGAAGTAATTGCTAGTGTTTATTCAGGCCTCTTGTCCTTAAAGTTCCCAAAAAATTTACGGTACTCTTTTTATGAAATTAATTGTTTAATTTCGGTGTTAATTAAAAACTTTAAAAGATTGTTTACCTTCAAGAATACCCTTTTGAAAAAAGGTGTGTTTGATTTAAAATTAACTGTAAATAGTTACGAAATAGACTTTTGTAAATAAAACATTTCAGTAGTATATTTTTAATTATTTTGTAGTAGCTATTGCTTACTTACTCCGCTAGCTCATCGACCCAAACTGGGTCTTGGCCTCCGACACAAGAGATCGCCAAAGTCGCCTGTCTTGAGCCTTCTCCTGCCAGTCCATCGCTTGTAGTTCCCGCTGATCTTGCTCTAGGGCATCTCTCCAGCGGTACCTGGACTGACCGATGGGTCTATTACGGAAGCTTTTAAATAGATAGTTAATTGCCATGATGTGATAAATTGGTCTTCTACAAACTATGGAGAAATAGATCTGAGAAATATATCACTTTTAAGATTAGAACTTTCAAATAAAACAACACTTTTTTTTCTAGCGATGGAGCTTGTTGGACCGAAGGGACGTGTATTTGGTAATACTCTAATAAATGCTGTCTACGTCCTTGGTTTAATGTCCCTATCTGGTCTATCCTGGTGGTTACAAGACTGGAGACTGCAAATCCGTATAATTTATGCACCAGCTTTTCTTGGATTTACATATTTATGGATCTTAAATGAAAGTGTTAGATGGTTACTAAGTAAAGGAAGACACAACGAAGCAGTAGATATATTAAAGAAAGCAATGAAAATGAACAAAGTTGATTTAACTGATGATGTTCTATCACCGCTATCAGAATTAGGAGATGTTGAAGATACAAAGAGTAAAGAAGTTGCACCAAAGGAAGAAGAAAATAAATCTTCTTTCACCCAAGCGTTAAAATCTAATATTATTAGAAAAAGAGTGTTAGTGTGCTCGTTTTTATGGATTACTTGTACGTTTGTTTATTATGGATTATCAATAAACTCAGTGTCTTTAGCTGGTAATAAGTATTTGAACTTTATGTTGGTCGCATTCGTTGAGATTCCGGCGAACTTCGCGTGTTTGCTTGTGTTGGACAGATTTGGTAGGAAACGGACTTTGATAACTACTTATGTGTTGAGTGCGTGCCTCTGCATCAGTCTTTCTTTACTTCCTAAAGGTAAGTAAGTTTTATTTTAATAATAATACTTAAGAAACCAGACTGTCATAATGAATGTTATATACATACCTATATCTAGATATCAATTAACTATGACAAGTACATATTGTGATATTATTAAATAATTATCAATTTATCCTCAACTCTCTATCCTTGATCATTGTTATCAATTTAAAGAAATAAAACAAGTCTATCTAATCGATTACTTGAAGAATAAATGCATTAACTTTCATTTAAAAATTATATTTAATTATAAACTATCAGTTTCGGCGATTCACTCAGTATTATGAATATTTATAAAGCTATGTACTCGAAAGCCACAGTCAACCACGCTGGCCAAGTGCGGGTTGGTTGACATCACACATATCTTTGAATTACTTCTCAGATATGTGCAGGTTGAATGACGATGTTTTCCTTCACCGTAAGAACGTCGGATAAATGTACATATGTAAATCGAATAACACATTGGTACATGGCGGGATTCTAACCCAGGACCTGCAGATTGCAAGTCAAGTGGTTGACCACTGAGCCACCGTCGCTCCCCCTTCACCCTTAACTTAGGGTAGGCTCCGAGCCCCTCGGTGGGGACGTATAGTGAGCTGATGATGATGATGTATTTGATATTTTGTAATGAAAATATTATCCATTACTTAAATAATAATTAATGTACCATTCCAACTAAACTTATGCTAGAATATGTTTACGTTAGTTTACGACAATAGTCGAATGCCGGGATTCCAACTCATGATCACATGATCGTAAATCCGTACTCTTAACCATTAGGCTATAAGCCCCTGTCCTGACCCCAATATAAAGACCATACTAGACTAGAAAGTTTGCACCTTTTGAACGAATTTAAAGTACCTTAGATGAAGTCACAGAAACGTTCCGTTATACTTAAACAGAGTACGGTCCGGTGTTATTTCGTGGTATACCATACTGGAACGTCCTTCGTTCTAAAATATCGATACAAAGGCTAATCATGTTATCTTTTTTAATTAAAATAACTTAATTATACATCGTTAAACTAATCAAACAATCTCTGTTTATATTGACCTTGTTTAAAATTGCATGTTTACCGCGCACCCTAAAATTGAAAGTTTCAACTTGTTTGCCAAACAATCTAATTATAAGGAAAGTTAATTCTAACCGCGTCGATCCCAATTTGTCGACACCTCAACTTGAGCTATTACAATTTTACAGGGGCTATGTTTGCTTTGTGATCGTTGTTTTGCAAACAGTAATGGAACTTTCATGTTAAATCGGCTTATTGAAAACCCTAATTGTTTAAGTGAATATTTTTAATATGAAAATAAATTGCATTTATCTAACCCTATGCACTAAAAAGACATAACTAAAAAACACGATGGTAAAAGTCTTATAAAGTTCCAAAACTATAATTTTCGTTGTTAAGGAAGATTAATCAACTCTACCTATGAACAACAAATTTCATGTGGTCCTCCTGCTATGTATTTAACTTTGTAAAAAAAAAATAATTTCGATATGAAATAGTAATTAATTAAGTCCCTATAATTCTAAGGGTGCGTTATTTACACTAATCTGACCTTTAGCGATTATATAGTGACTTTGAAATATAAAGAAATAGAGATGTCATACCTCATTCGTGTTAAGAAATTGTAAGGCCAAATTTTCGGTGAAGGAAAACATCCTGATGAAACCTGCACATAACTGGAAAGAGATTCAAAGATATGTGTGAAGTCAACCATCCCGCAGTGTCACAACGTGGTTGACTATGTCCTAATCATCCCTAACTTAAGGTAGGCTCCGAGCCCCTCAATGGGGACGTATAGTGAGCTGATGATAATGAAGGCCAGATTTGGGACATTCATGAAATATTAACTCAACTGCTAAATAACTATATAACATAATAAACGAGATTTTCGAAGTAATTCTCCTATTAGAAAACATTAAATGAATAAATGAATGAAGGAGCATCGATTTTAAAATTGACTCAGCATCGCCTCATGCAGTATACTTAACAAATATCTTACAACATCGTACTACATAGAAATTGAGTTCATTTATTTTTAAATTTATGTTTATTTAGCTGTTACTAAAACGAAAGAAATAATATCAGAATGTGTGGTAAAGACCTATTTTCGTTGATTAAGAAATAATTTACAAGCAAGCAATTCATAAAGCTTATAGCTTTCGGTTACAATTGAATTCGTCTTCTTCAGTGGTAGTTAAGGATCTACAGGGGGTTACAATATAAAGAGAACATTTACCTCACGAGACAAAGTAGGCAAAAGTGTAGTTTAGATAACCATCACAATTTTAATTCTTTACTATCTTTAAAATAGGCTTTAAGTCACTCAGAGATATATATCCACGAGAAATACTAATTATGTTCCATCATCATCATTCTTCTGTCCTTGTACCAACCATTGGTCGGCTGTACTACATTTCCGTCCCCCATTTCTATCAGCCGTCCTTTCTGAATTCACTCCCGTCTTACATTCAGTCTTCCTCTACCTTTGCATCCTCCATATTTATGCTTCTATCAGCTGGAAAAATAATACTTTTATATGTCTATAGATCAGAAATGGTTGCCTCTCGTGATCTACTTGTCTGGGAAGTTCTCCATCACGGTAGCTTACAGCTCCGTGTACATCTACGTGTCAGAAGTGTTCCCCACTAACGTGCGGCAGTCTCTACTAGCCGTCTGCTCTGCGTTGGGTCGCGTCGGATCCACGCTGGCACCTCTCACACCACTACTGGTAAGATTTTTACCTCCTCCTATATTATTGTTACCTCTTACGTACAATCAAACATCCTGTAACAATTTGTTGTTAATCCAGACGTGATATGTTTGGAATTATAAAAGCAAAATAAATAAATCTCTCGGGAAAGTAATTATTTTTCGGATTAAAGCTAGTCGTTGCGGTATTCCAGACCATAATCTATATGTATATCAATTTTTTTTAAGGTCCGTTTAGAAATTTTGGAGTTACCTGGTTACAAAAATCAATCCAAACGTTGATTTTTGTTATATTTAATTCAATAAATTCATTAAGCAAATATCGAAGTTCAGAGAGATATTCCATCAACTCTACTAATAAATTGACTTAAGAAACTAGACCGGGCAACCTAACTGATCGGATTTCTCAGATAGTTTGGGAATAAATAATTTTCATCTTTGAAGACTAGTTTCGACTATATATATATATATATAATTCTTCTGTGAGTGTGTATGTCACTGAACTTCTCTCAAACGACTGGAGCGATTTTGATGAAATTTTTTGTGTGTGTTCAAGGGGATCTGGGAATGTTTTAGATTCACAATTTAAAGACGTGTAGACAGGACAAAGTCTGTCGGGTCCGTTATATCTGAAATAGAACTTTTTATTATACCTTCAATACCATAATCCATCGTACTTCTTACTATATAAATGCGAATGTTTAGATGGATGGATGGATGTTTGTTTGAAGGTATCTCCGGAACGGCTGTACGGATCTTGATGAAATTTGGCACAGATCTAGAACAAAGTCTGTAAGACCATACAGGCCACTTAACAAGATTTTTTTAATCCGCGCGGACAGAGTCGCGAGCGACAGCTAGTGAATTATAAATGCGAATGTTTAGAGGATGGATGTTTGAAGGTATCTCCAGAACGGCTGAACGGATCTCGATGAAATTTGGCATACATATAGAACATAATTGGGAAGAACACATAGACTACTAATTAAGTTTTTTTTAATACCTCGCGGATGTAGTCGCGGGCGACAGCTAGTACTTTTATAATTAATTTTACTTTGATTAGATTTTTAACTGGCCAGTTATAAATAGCTTTTTTTTTGTAATTTTAAAAGCTTGTTCCTAACTCGAACGGTTTGATTTATGGTGGCTTATGAATAAACATTTTTAATCAGATGCAAAGCCTTTGTTTGCTACTTTTGAATAATTTTAGAATTACACTGTTGGAAAATAAAAATAATAACAACAATAATAACTTAATATGATACTGTCATTAATTAAAAGTTTTTTTTTTATAAAAAAAATGCAACTACTACGAAACTAATACCAAGAAAGATTACATCAAATGTTTTTCAGACATTTTAAATTGATAAAAATATCTTAACCTATATTTACTATAAAATGCTTATCATATAAATGCTAACGTTTGGATGGATGGATGGATGTTTGTTAGAAGGTATCTCCAGAACGGCTGCATGGATCTCGCTGAAAATGTAAATGTAAAACGAAGTCTGAAAGGACGCAAGCTACTATTTTTTTTATATCATAGTAAAGTCGCGGGCATCTAGTTTTTTTTTAAATAAAAAGGCAGTAACATGGTGTTAAGCTATAACAATATTTTTTTTTAATCAGGCGTTGTACTACGACAACCTGCCAGCGATATTCTTCGGCAGTATGACTCTAGTGGCCAGTGCTCTTGTGTTTACTTTACCAGAGACAATTAACGTACCTCTGCCTGACACAGTGGAGGAAGCAGAGAAACTATCAAGAAGAAAAGACGTAAAAGATAACGCGTAATCATTCCAGAATTTTGTTCGCTCAATGTACCTTGAATCCAAAGAAAACGTTTATATATTTGTTATTATTTTTTTTTAATCTTTTACATTTGCCTTAAAGAGGCTAGTTGACTTTTTAATGTGCCTAAAATTGCGTCTGAACCTTTGGAACTGTAAGGCAAAGATTAAACATTCAAATTAGTTTATATTTATACTGTCAGCCTCTCAGAGGCAAATAATAGTCACTATTCACAAAAACAAAGTACTTCTAGCAAAGGGATATAGTAAATTCAAATATAGAAATCAAATACGAAGACATTCCTTATGTTTAAAATAATACATTTATTTTTAATTCAATAGGCAGTATTGCCAATGTACGTATTTTTTTAACGAATAAGAAACAGACTTTGTGGCCAGTAATGGTTTTGGAATGATTGAAGTATTACCCCTACTACTGGAACTAAAAAAGTTTATTAAAGTGTAGCACAAATTTTCCCCGAACATCAACTGATTTTTTTTTACTTTTTATTATATAAATAAATAGTTTATATATCAATGTTGATTGATTAAACTCTCGTACAAAAACTAAATAAGTAGTTGTAAGGATGTAAAATATAAGATTTTTTTAACGACATTTTTAAGTGTTTTTGTATGTATTGTAAAGTGGTTATTTTCTTTTTAATATTATAATAATTTATATACGTGTCTTGTGATGTAAATTTTAAATCCGAATTTTATATATATATTGTGCTTGTAATTCGTATACGTCACTAAGAACTCGATTGATTTACTTTCGAGTGTGATTTCGAGTTTCATTGGTAAGAACTAGAATGAGCTTCGCAGAATCCATTCTACAAATATTTCTCGACTTCAGAATGTGAATAATATTTTTATCTCGACAAATGTTATCCGTTTAGTTTTTTATTGTTTCGTTTACTTATTATTTGTAAGAAAACACAGGCACAATTTATCTCTATTTCACAACACAAATCTGTTCGACTGAATTTTGCACAAAATAAATTCATGTTTTCTGATGAATGTGAATTGTTTAGTAATTCGATATTTTCATAACTTATTTTAATATATGTTTTTACATTTCATGAGCTGTGTTTTAATTTTATTTCCCTTAGTAATAAAATTATGAATATATTATAAAACATATTACAAAGGCCAAAAGGAAGAAAATGGATGTAATTAATTAGCGTTAAAATATTGCTGAATGTTTAATAGACGCCTGGCAATTAATAATAGCAACGAGCTGTAAGAAATCATTTTGAATTATTATAAAACGAAAGGTTGAATGTAATTAATGTTATATTATCCTCAATTTTACACATTATGTTGATATTTAAACATTTAAAACCTTATTCATAATAAATTTAATCATTTTAATAACAACATGACATCACTAAACTAAGTCTATCGGTTGCTCAGGAGTCAAGCACTTGATTTGTAATCTGCAGGTCCTGGGTTCGAATCCCGCCATGTACCAATGTGTATTTCGATTTCCGATTTACATATGTACATTTATCCGACGTTCTTACGGTGAAGGAAAACATCGTGATGCAACCTGCACATATCTGAGAAGAAATTCAAAGATATATGTGAAGTCAACCAACCCGCATTGGGACAGCGTGGTTGACTATGGCCTAATCACCCTTTTCTTAGGGTAGACTCCGAGCCCCTCGGTGGGGACGTGCAGTGAGCTGATGATGAATGATGAAGATCACTAAACTATTATATAATTTTCAACATACTTTGACGAGTTTAAATTCTCATCTCATTTTGGCTCCTAACGGATTACCCACACTTCCAATAGCTGTTTTCATAAATTGTTATATACCAGAGTTAGTTTAGCAACTTGTAGTTGTTGCAGTGTACATATAAAGTGCAAACATTGCATATTGCCGATTAATATTTACTCACAAACAGAATTCTACGAACACTTATCAATCATACCAATGAAATATACTCGTATGTAAATAAATTAACTATAAATATACAAAAGCGATGTTTAATAAACCAGAAATAGAGTTAAAATGGTAGCAGCATATTTTATAACCTAAAAGAACTCATTAAATTATCTTGAAACAACAATCTTAAATCATATTTGAAAGGAAAAAAGAACTAATATAATTTTGAAAGACTACAGCAGCTGTGGTATGCAGTGACGTCATAAATCTTTTCGACGGGCGACAAGCTGGTGTGCGCCGCCATGTCTTATTGCAGCTGTCAAAAAGAAGCGGGAACAGCTGGCTGGCTTCCGAATTGCATCACATCTGTTAGGACAAAGGCTCGCGTTATCACGCGGCCATGTGTAAACGAATGTAAATAAAAAAAAAATATTTGTTTAGGATATTTTGTGTTGTTTTTGATAAAATACATAAATTATATACCTATAATAGAAGATTGGGGTTGTAAGTGCCAAGGTCCTGACATTAATAACCCCAGCTAACAACATTGGAAGCGAGCCAACGGATTTCCTATGTATAATCTTAAAGGAAATTTAACGCCAATTAGGTATAGGTACCTATTCATAATTACATTGCTTTTATTGGGTATTATAATGTACAAGGGCATTGTTAATCGATCATGAAGGGAGGAGGTAGAAAATCATCATGGGGTAAGTAAAAATCTGTTTTTCATCTCTAAGAGAATGCTTATTAACATGCGTTCAACATCTTAATATTTAGAAGTAGTTTGGAAATATAATTTACGTTTCCGATTATCTTGGGGAAGGCAGATGATAGTTGGTATTATGGATTAAAAATCAAATATTTATCTATACTTATAATATTGCTGTTTGTATTCGATACAATTCGTTTAAAAAGTGGTTTTAACCCTTTTGTTCATTTTGTGTAGTATACCATACATTCAACTTTATAAAAATATACGATCCCTATAAAATTATGTTTAAATTATTTTTTTTAAACTCATGACATTTCTAGACTTTTTTTTAGCTTTAGGGTTAAATTCGTAATTTGTAGGTTAGAAATGGTTAAATTGCGTGATAAATAATTCTGTTTAAAATTGAAAAGGAAAATTAAATAAAATAATTTTGTCTTTACGAGTTCCCGTGTTGGCCATTAATTTCAATGATTTTGACATTAAAACAATTCTTAATGTTTTCGATGTGTCTCATGGGACATGAATCTTAGGTTACACAAAAAGCTTTATCCACTAAAGTTTAATTAAATTTACTTTTCGGCTCGTTAACATAAACGTCTCGAAGTTGAGTATACAGAGGTGTGTTTCAGTAGTAGAAATGCTCAAGAGAGTAGAAAAGCTAAAGCTGTTTTCTTTGTTAAAATCCTGTGAAGGTTACAAAATACGACAAAGTACATGTTGATTATGACTGTGTCGTAATGTCGAAAGCCATTCATTCTCTGTCACCGATAGTGTCAGAAAAACGCGGGAAACGGCGCAGTTCTTCTAAAATTACTTGTACTATCTTACAAATATTATAAATGCGAATGTATAGATTAATGGATGGATGTTTCTTTGAAGGTATCTCTAGAACGGCTGCACGGATCTTGCTGGAATTTAGCATAGATGTATAACATAGTCTGGAAGAACACATAGGCTACTAATTATAGTTTTTTTTTTTTTAATTCGGCGCGGACGACGTCGCAGGGCAACAGCTTGTGTAAACATAAAGAAGACGAATTCTATGTCCCGTTCACTACTGAGACTAACCAAGGCAGTCCAGGCAGCAGACAGTAGAGCAGACTTTTATCGTAAATAACATTGAACTTTAAACGATTGAAACAAAGTTTAATTTACTTTGCACATTTGTATTAATAGCAAGCATTTAAAACATGTGAAAAGTAAAATTAAACCATATTTTAATTACATAAAGTTCAATTTATATTTGCAATAAAAATCGGCTCTATTCTACTATGTGAACTTACGCGACAGTTAATAGTTTGCACAGTCGGATTATAAAGTGACCAATGTTCACAAGCTTCCTGTGACATGCTCTTTACCGTTGTTTTCTTAATATTAAATATACGTGACTATGCATTATAAATAAAGCTATTAAAATCGTAAGCTGTTTATATTTTCATTGCGACATAACAGCTATTGTTTTTCTCACGAGATTTCATTTAGAAAATCTTATCATGTATTCAAGTCATGGTTGAATAAATGCATTTATAAAGCCACTAATTACCGTTGAAATCTCTACAATAAATTTCAATTGTGTTTTACAAGTAAAATAATTCTTCACTTATATTTGTTACCCTTTAACTGATACATACGTAGCCAGCTGTAGTGTATGCATAAACGTAGTGTTTGTCACGAGCGTACACGCCATAAGTACATGCCGGAGAGGGGACGTCAGTCGATGTCGGACCTTTGGACCGGCAAGACATGTCGGTACGTGAACGAGCCAAATATAACGCAACGAATGCTACAACAGCTAATTAAATTTCTTGTATTTTAAAACAATAAATTTATAACTATGCTGTATTTAACGTTTTTTTGAATATTTTTTTACAGAAGGGGGTAAAAGAGCAGCGGGCAGCCAGATCAACGATGGACATCTGCAATACTGCAAATACTTAGCCGAACTTTAAAATCCATTATTTCATAACGTACAGGCAACATAAATTTGCATTTGCAATACAAATTTCGTGAAATAGAACAAAGAACGAATAGAGAAACTAATAAAACTGCTCGCAGAAAAAACTCTGGCTTAAAATGCAATATATTCTCCAATGTGGCGTGTGTACGGCATTGTACAGCTAATTGTTTTTGACTCTTTTGGACAGCACTGTACGAGAATATAGAATAAGACTATTACCAAGTTTATTTATATCTTACTTCTTACTTATATTGTAAATGCGAATGTTTAGATGGATGGATGTTTGTTTGAATGTATCTCCAGAACGGCTGCACGGATCTAGCTGACTGACATAGATGTAGAACATAGTGTGAAAGAACATACAGGATGTCCCAAAACCTTTTGGGACACCCTGTATAGGATACTAATTAAGTTTTTTTTTTTAATTTTCTTTCATCTTTAAAATCGGTTTAGCATTTTTAAGTTTGCGTACTTTATAATAAAAAAAAACACAGGCAATTCAAGAGTTTATTTGAAAAAAATGTGAAAATAACAATGTAATTATTTGTACTAAATAAAACAAAACGCTTATAGTACAGATAAGCACAAAAATGCAAATCATAGGAGATTTTTAAAAAGTTTCTATTTTTTAATTATTGGTCCCACGGAACTTAGATACTAGAATACTGTTTATTCTGTGCATTTATAAGCAATAATAACATAACCAGAAATTATACTCAAGAATCTTTTAAGACATTATTTTTTAATTATAAATAGTTTCTATATGTTTTCGATTTTGAAATTCGAACATTAATTTTGACAGTTTAGTTTTTTTTTTTTACAAAATTAAATTCGTAAAAAGTTTTACCGTGTTCTGAAACCAAAATACCCGTTTAAAACATTTGTTATCTCTGTTGTGAAAGATAAAAAGGATGATAATAAAGAGATTTTGACCTCAGAAACCCACGGTAAGATAATTAAAGTACAAATAGTAGACAGAACACATTTATTGCGGGATTGTAAATTACATTTATATGAACATTAAGAGGGTTAAGACAATGGAATCTCAATCTTGTACCAACAGCTTTTAAAACTCTTTATTACTTTAATATTGTCTTAATTCGTTTATTTTTTAAGTAAATATTATCTATGTACGAAAATTGTTTGACAAGACAAAGTTTATTGCTTTTAATTCTATGATAATTTATCTCGTTCTTTTTTCGCTTTACTACATGAAGGTAAAAATATCAGCCACAAGCATATTGATATCTGAAATTTTTGTTTTATTTTAAGTACATCATAAATAAGTTTTGATATAAGTGGCTCAGTGGTTAAGCACTTGAGTTGTAATCTACAGGTCCTGGGTTCGAATCCCGTCATGTACCAATGTTTTTTTCGATTTACATATGTAATGTATCCGACGTTCTTACGGTGAAGGAAAACATCGTGCTGCACATATCTATGATATTCAAAGATATGTGCGAAGTCAACCTGCACTGGGACTGTTGACTATGGCCTAGTCAACAATCACATAGGGTAGGCTCGAGCCCCTCAGTGGAGACGTATTGCTGTTTTTATAAGTATAAATTTCGATAGAAGTAGTCACTATTGTGTATATTTACATATGTATTTAAAATTGATCGATAAATCGTGTAGTTGGTAATATACATTTAAATTAAGGTTGTTATCAAATGTTAATTTTGTAAATTAAGTAATAGTATGTAATTGTATATAAAAGTGCGTTTTAATTCGATTCGAGTGAAATAAATTACGAGATTTTTTAGTACTAATATAGATATAGTAAATAATAAATTAATTAGAAATTAGGATTACTTTATGTATATTAAATGTTGTGATAATACATGAATTCAATCTTTATTGATATCAACAGATTTTTGTACAAAAGACAGTGGAGATTTGAATTAATTTTGGTATAAAAAACGAGGTCTTGACAAAATAAAAGCTAGCTTCTTAATTGGCCAAATATCAAAATTACTACTTTACTTGTAATAAAAATCTCATTAACTCTTTTTATTACGAAACTTTTTATTAATATTAGATTTCGATGCTTTATTTTGTTCAGAAACTAAAGATACAATTAAAAAAAAATTTGACAAACATAAATTTTTAATTTACAAAAAATATTTTTGTTACCGTGTGACGATTGCGATTGGCTAAAGACAAACTGTCGAGTAATACTTTATATTATGAAAGACTCGTTTATTTAAAAAAAAATTAAAAACAGTTCATAATGGTCCGTTTAAAAATAAACAAATTTCACAAAGGTACGGTAACATAGCTGAAAATTAATCAAGAGCAACATACGATAGATTCATATCGAACTGGAATATAGAAATTGTTAATTTCCAAAATGTCTATGTTTCACTTTCCTGCTACCTACTCTATGAACTGACGACGGATCTTGTTTTCATTCTGGAAAGTTCTTCAGCTTCCTCTATCGTGTCTGGTAGACGCATGTTCCTTGTCTCTGGCAGCATTAGTACTAACATGCTTGATATAAGACACATTCCACCGAAAATCACAGTCGGCATAGAACTGTGGTACTGATTCTGTAATTATAATATTTCTTGAGTGTCATTTCCAAACAATAAACATATTTTTTATATTATAAAATGGCAAACGAGCGAGCGGCGGAATTGCAAATGCGTTGGCTACCTTTAATCAACGTAGATGATGCACAAGAAAAGGAGATATCCCCTTTCTATGCAGCCCCTCCTCCATCAAATCCACTTCCCCCTCACATCCTTTATAAGAAAAGGGTAGGTGGGGAAAGGAGACTAAAATTAAGCCTGCACGCACGCTCATCACGTCTGTCTTCTGTATGGTCGTGGTATTTTAACAGATGTTATTACTGGTGTCACTCTTTAAGGATAAAAAGGATATACAAACTTACCAATAAGGGTGTCATCGGTGCAACAAGAGAACCAATCCTGCCCGCAGTAGAACAGAAGCTGATGAGCGTCTGCCTCATGTTGGTTGGGAACACTTCTGATACGTAGATGTAGACGGAACTATACGCAAGTGTTACACTCCACTTGCCCACCAGGTAGATTGGGATAGACCACCAATCAGCTGTGAAAATGTCCCATTATTATTCTACTTTCGAAATAACCTAATTGATAAAATAATATCATCAACCTGCCCTTATCCCTACGGAAGGTTGGCACAGTATGTACTACTCTATACATCTCTATCAGCCGTCATATATGAATCTCCCCCCTTCTTTAATATCCTCTCTCACACAATCCATCCATACTTTCTTCGGTCTTAAAAAAAAACTGACATAGGAACGGATAAACGCTCACGTATTTGCCAAGAAGGGCCGCTTTCGCGGAATAATCCCTGTCTCACTCACCCTGATGAAGGGAACCTAACTTGAAACTAGTCGGTTAACACATGAGTTAATATTTTTGTCTTTTAATTTCGACGGACGTAGTCGCGGCCGACAACTAGTTGATATATGAAATGAAGATTAAATTGTTTTGTGACGTCATTTATTTTATTAGAAGAAACAGTAAAAATGTGCTCGAGCAAGTCTCGTTGTTGATAAGTCACAGCTGTACTGGGACTCGTTACTGTTTTAATAAAAACGAAAAGTTCTTAATAAAAAGAAAATGAGAGAATAGTATGAATATTTGTTAGCTTAAGTTCACTCCTTATGCTTGTTTCACATGCGGGTAGAATAGTTAGGTAGAGCAGTAGGAAAGTGCAGTACTATAATAGTATGACTAAACACACGTCAAAACAGAGGGCCTAGTATAAATATTCGGTAAAATGTTTTCGTAATGTCATCGACTGTATTAAAATTTGTACAGCGACCGTAATGGGCGTAGGGTGTACCAACAAATCTCATCCAAATGAAAATATTTTGTAGATGATGTTCCTGCTAGGATCTCTGTTCTATTTGTTAAGAGCAGTATATATGTCCTGGTATTCAACTACAATGTATTGTACTCGTGTGAAAGTAGCATTAGCGAAAATTGAAATGAAGGGGGAACGGTGCTGATATAAAAATTTCTTATTTTTAAAACTATTCCTTGTAAAGAAAAAAATTTTAATAACTTTTTACATAAATTCCCTCGTATTTGAAATTTATAAAGTGTAGATACATGTTAAAAGGAGCAATATATTCGAGAATATTTCAAGATCATTCTAGAAGTGTTAGAGTAGGACAATATACGTGCGTAAGAGATAGACAATACATTCGACATAAATATGGAAACTAAAATAAAATCATTGTGTTCTTTGCTATTTAATTACATATTTATGTTAAACTAATTTTATAAAATATTTTTATTAAGCAAGAAAATCATTTTTGTTTAACTTTTTTTATCTGACTTATCGTAATATCGTTAGTCAAGAAACGTCTAGAACTTCTTCAGGGACAAATTTTTTACCTGTATTACTCATCTATTATGCGCATAAATACAGTTTGTCATATTGTATCACACTAGTTCAAGGTCAGGATTTGCATTCCTAAGAAAATGCAATAACATTTGATAAATTCGCAACACCCTGCATTAAATGCGCGAAATGTAAACTCACTACTGACTCTAATCTGATTTATTGCTGAAAGTAATGCGATGTTAAAAGTTACGTAACTTATTTAAGTTAGTAAGCAATGGAACATAATACATAGAAATAACTTGTCTTTTTTTTAAAGTGGAGAACGACGATATGTACTAGCAGGGAATCTGGCGGTATTCCAACTTAAAAGCCATAATTTGAACGTTTCTAAACGCGTTTACACAAGACGCATTAATAAACAATAGGACGCAGCTTTTAAATGTGTCTAAGAAAAAGATACGTCAGTGGTATACGACTAATTGCTTTTTACTGTTATGCCATCTTTTGTTCATCTCACAGCTACCTGCTTATTTTGTGAGGACCGGAGTTTATCTGGCATGGAATAAGACAAAATTTCTGTAAGTGAAACACCGCGAACCGCCCTGACTGTACATATGATAAGCATACGTATAAAAGTGTTTACTAAAACAAATTTACACGTGTTCGACCTAAACACCTGATCTAACTATGTCAACGTACAGTCAACTACAATAAAATGTTTGCATGCAAATATAAATACAACTAACAATCAAAAGATTCTGACTTTAATTAATAGCCGATAGCACTTTTGTTAATGAATGTACATTGCAATAACATAAATAAAATATGTACCAATGTGTTTGTGTGTCAATACTTACATTTCGGTAAAAATGCGAACAGCAAATTGGTGACTGCGCACAACACATAATTCACAACTAAAGTCTTTTTTCTTCCATATTTATCTAACACAACCACAACAATGACATATGCCGGTATTTCAACCACAACGACCAACATAAAAGTAATATATTTGTTAGCACTAAGTGACATTGCGTTAATTGATAATCCGTAATACACTAATGAACATGTCATCCACAAAAACGAACAAATAATTAGTCTCTTCCATATTATAGTCGAACGAATCGCTTTTGAGAATTGCGATTTCTTATCGACCGTTTGATTCTTTGGATCAAGTAATGGATCTCCCAGCGCATCTAATTCAAGTTTTCTTGGATCAAGATTATTAATTTTTGCAGCACTTTTTAATATTTTAACCGCTTCTTCTCGTCTTCCTTTACTTAATAGCCATCTAGCGCTTTCATTCATGAACCAAACGTAGATTGCTACCAGGATCGCAGGAGAGTATAGTATAAAGATGTAATTCCTCCAGCTGTCGACGAACCACGCGAGTAGAGCTAAAAGTATCTCACCAACAACAAACGTCATGTTACACATCGCAGATACTATTACGCGTTGTTTCAATCCCACTAATTCCACAGCTGAAAATAAAATTGAATTTAAAATGTTACTAGGTTATAAAATCTTGTCAAGTCTAAGACTTAGAACTAGTTCTCATAAGTTCACTACTCTATGGCATTGGTATTAAAAGAATGTGTACAATTTTTTCTAACTTATTTTACATGATGCGAGTACAAACCTATCTATTGTTTCTTTAGTATATAGTTGATAATCTATTAACACAAAGACTCCCACTCCTTGTCTGGCTTATATAAAAAAGGGTCTTGACAGACAGACGGAGAGACAAAGTGATCCTATAAGGGTTCCGTTTTTTTTCCTTAAGACAATAAAGAGTAAAACAAGGATTAACTAACCCAATACATACGCCGATGGATACAGTCCTCCTCCAAAACCAGCTTCTAAGAAATGCATAGCTAAATACGCCAGGTAATTATTTGTGAATGCTCTGCCAATACCGAATATAAAGCTGGCTAATGATGCCATTCCAACAGCCACCTTACGGCCGAAGCGATCAGAAATTGCTCCGGTCACCAACATGGCGGCGAACATGCCGGAGTTGTGCACGGTGCCCACTAGCGCTCTTTTCCATTCCTGACAACCTAAATCGAACTGTATAGATGATGTTAATAATATAATTGTTTATATGAAAAACTCTTATTATGTACTGTCACTCTCACCGTGGGTGTCTGAGACCAATCTTTATATATATAATTCTTCTGTGAGTGTGTATGTCACTGAACTTCTCTCAAACGACTGGAGCGATTTTGATGAAATTTTTTGTGTGTGTTCAAGGGGATCTGGGAATGGTTTAGATTCACAATTTTGTCCGCTGGACAATGTTTTTTAATTAATTTTTAATTTATTAGTAGTTGTTGATTTTGGAATGTTTTACATTGGATCCGACAGACGGCGCTACCATCGCAGTGTCAAATTGTCAGACAACGTCTGTCGGGTCCTCTAGTATCTGTATAAAATATATCTTTATCCCTGTCATTATCTTTGACGAAATAGAGGCAACAATATGATGTAAACGGATACTTTGGTTTCAGAAACCCACGTTGAGTGCAGTTAGAATAATTTATAACAAAGTGAGAAATTTTTGAACTTCATTCATCATACTTCATACTTATAAATGCGAATGTTTAGATGGATGTATGGATGTTTGTTAAAAGTGAAAATATTTCTAGAATGGCTTAACGGATCTTGTTGAAATTAGGCATAAACGTAGAACACAATCTGGAAGAACACATACTCATTAAGTTTTTTTCTAATCCTGCACGGACGGAGTCGCGAACGATATCTAGCATAAATTAAATAAATGAACTAGGACGCCATTACGAAATGTTAATAGCTAGTCGAATTAGGTAAAATGACAGCTGTCAAAGACACGAAAAAAGTGAAAGAAATCACCTATGTTTTTAATTTTAATTTGTTTTTAGTTTTAGTTAATAGACAAATAGATGCAATGTTTATTATTAAGTTGCGAATAAGATTATTTATATCTCAATTACTGATATGCAATTTGTTATGATTCAAATGGGATGTTTACATCGTAATCCGAATGCGATAACACATGTCAAAGCAATGAAAATACAGGAAATGATATTGACATAGTATTTATAGAAACAAATTGTCCTTCAATTAGTAACTACAGTTAACTCTTAGTGGTCATAAATCAGTCACGTGATGTTTTTTGACCATCCCCCGTCTGATGTATGAGGTTATAGACCACACCTACTAATTAACATTACGTATATTTATGTCATCAGTCAGAAAATATAACCTCGTGATATTTCGTGATTTTTCTGAAAGCCCCACCTCATTCACGCCTCATGTGATTAATCGGTGATCACAGATTGCAAATTCCATTTAAAAGATACACAGAAAACAGTCGTGAAGTGGAAGCAATTCCGCGTTTCGTCTGATGAGTGTGCGTCCCGGAGGCCTAATTTAGTCCTCTTTCCCTTCCCACCCTTTTTGTATAAGGAAAGGATGGGAAGTGAAAGTGGACTTTCCGGATGAGAGGATGCATGGAAAGGGAAAATATTTTCTCTCTGTGCATCCTCTCCTCCGTCGATTTAAGGTAGGCAACGCATATGCAAATGCGTATGTCTATGGGCAACGATCACTTCGCTACTTCAGCGATTTCGGGTGGCCGCTCGCTCGTTTGCCGCCTTATCATATAAAAAAAAAACATTAATTGAATAATTTAATAGACTTTGATATTAATGTTCTAATTAAGATCTGTAACTTCTACTAATATTATAAATGCCAATGTTTAGATGTATGTATGTTTGTTAGAAGATATCTCCAGAACGGCTACATAGATTTTGCTGAAATTTGGCAAAGTTGTAGAACATAGTTTGGAAGGACACATAGGTCACTAATTAAGTTTCTTCCTAATACCGCGCTGACGGAGTCGCGGGCGACAGCTAGTACTTTTATAATCCTCACAAATATATACAAATATTATAAAGCGGAAGAGTTTGTTTGTTTGTTTAAACGCGCTAATCTCAGGAACTACTGGTCCGATTTGAAAAATTATTTTTTTGTTGAATAGTTCATTTATAGAGGAAAGCTTTAGGCTATAACATTACGCTGCGACCAATCGTTTTTTTTTAATTCCGCGCCGACGCAGTCGCGGGCGACAGCTAGTTCTTATACAATGTTGCTTACATACACTATGGTGTTGTATTTAATGTTTGTATGTTCAAGTGTTGTGATAATTTGTACGATGAATTCTGTGTATCGACGGATTGTTATGGCTAATGCATTCTCTCATCCGGTTTAACCGCGGGTTTCTGATACTGGGCGATAACGCCCCCTTGTGGGCGCTGCAGGTCTCAAATTGCGGGTTATAGTAAAAGTATCGTTTAAAATTCTTCGTTAATATACATGTATAGGTCACAATAATTAATTAATTTAATTTGAAGTTATAGTGGTTTTTAAATACTTGAAAATATGGGGGCGCTAAAAATATTTATTCTCAAAGTTGGCAGTAGACAAATTAAGTTTGGGAACCACTGGCTTTAAAACATATTGTTATCCCTGTTTTGTCAAAGATTTGAGAGATTTTGGTGTCAGAAACCGATAAATCCGATGCATTAAACAACAATATGTTCAATGAAATCTGATTTGAAATAAAATAGATTGGTTTATTATATTTTTATTTTTTGTGTAATTTTTTTGTGCGAATTTTTACTTAATTATTGATTTTAATCACCCCACTAGCGATCGCTAACGACTCGGTCTGCGCGAAATTAAAAAAAATACTTAATTAGTAGCCTATGTGTTCTTGCAGACTGATCTTCATCTTAATTTCAGCGAGATCCATGCAGCCGTTCTTGACATACCCATATAATATATAATTAGATTCTGATGAAGAATAGCTTACCTCTTTAACGAAAGATCGACCTTCTTCGTAAACAAAACTATCACAAGGAACAGTTTTGTTTATAAATTCGTCAGGTGTGCACTGCTGTACGGTGTCATTGATGGTGGCATATCTACTGCACATATCATGCCGGTTTAACTTTGTGTTATTTGGTATGGCATAATCAAGCCACGAAGTGTCATTGAATCTTTCTTCACAGCCGTTGACTTTGCATCTAGAAAAAAACATCAAAATTAACTTAAATTCACATGTAGTATTAATTATTGGTTTCTGAGACTCAAATCTCTGTATAAACATATCGTCATCCTTATCATCTTCGACAAAACAGTGATAACAATATGTTTTAAACATAGATCCTGGCTCGGAAACTCACGGTAAGTCATCTTACTAATTAAATTATAGTAGGTTTTCATTGCCTAAACACATCCACAGTAACATATATCATACTAATATTATAAATGCGAATGTTTAGATGGATGGATGTTTGTTTGAAGGTATATCCAGAACGCCTCAACGATGATATGGCATACATATATATTATAGTCTGGAAGAACACATAAGCTACTAAATGTTTTTTAATTCCGTACGGACAAAGTCTCGGGCGACAGCTCGTTTATCAATATAAGCAAAGAAAGGAAAAAAAAACCTTTTTTTTATTTATTTAAATGAAACGTATGTTATTTATTCGATAATAAATCCAACAAATTGTTAAATGTATAATTTGATAAAACCTCTATTCGACTAAATTATCAGCCAACCAGATAATATCAGATGAAAGTTCAAACGGCTGTAAAATCTCCGGTTCAGTCCGGACTAACTCTTTGTGTATTACAGATAACATATCTGTCTGTGCTCATCCATGTTTCACAGATAAGATAACGTATTGATACGTGATATTTTGATTTTGCACTACAGTACTTCAACACGTTCCATGCTACTATGACATAAAGTAAACTCACTTAAACCGGCACTGAACGTGTTGCTTCCAATAGATACGTGACTAAATAATGTTTAATACTTAACAGCCTTATCTTCTGTCTTTGACCTAAAGATTAGTGAGTCAAGATACAGGATGTTCGAAAATTCGTGAATTTTTTTACGATTTCTATTTTGTATAAGTGATAATAAATAAGAAAACATCCTGTATAAATTAACAAACACTGGCAGCATGTTTCGTAGTTTATGAATATTGCTATCAAAAATAACAAAAATGGATGTTCAATAAATACAACCACTGCTATAAATTATGTTGAATAAGTCAATATATCGTATTAATGTAATCGCATTAATATACGGGATATTGCACAATATCCATAAAAGCCTAGCATTATTCCAACAAAAGTTATTATCATATTTATAACTAGCGGTAGCCCGCGACTTCGTCGATGCGAATTTTTAAAAAAACAACCTATACCCGCGTATGCCCGCATTAACTACCTTCCGGTCAAGTTCCGTCAAAATCGGTCCAACAGTTCCGGTGATTATTCGAAACAAACGCGACCTTGCGGACAGACATACAGACAAAACTTTAAAAATTGGTTTATTAACAACGCAAATACATCACGTGTCCATAATATTTTTTTTCTCGGTTGATACAGGCATTCCAATTTTATTAATACGTTTTTTTATATCAAAAGGCGGCAAACGAGCCTAAAATCGCTGAAATAGCGAAGTGACCGTTGTCCAGACATACGCAATTGCATATGCGTTGCCTACCTTTAATCGACGGAGGAGAGGATGCACAGAAAGAAAACATTTCCATGCATCCTCTCATCCGGAAAGTCCACTTCCGCTTCCCATCCTTTCCTTATAAGAAAAAGGGTGGGAAAGGAAAGAGGACTAAATTAGGCCTCCGGGACGCACACTCATCAGACGAAACGCGGAATTGCTTCCACTTGTCGCCTGTCTTCAATGTATGGATTATGTGTCATAAATAAAACCGCGTAGTAACATGTAACCTTTAGCAAGGCTTTCAACTAGCCCATAATGGAAACCGTACTTCATTTGTTAAGGCTATTTATAAACTAAAGAATCTCGTAGTCAAGTTATTGAGTGCGAAGATTAGTTACAACTAGATTAGACTAGCTGTCGCCCGCGACTCTGTCCGCGCGGAATTAAAACAACAAAAAGATACTTAGAAGCCTATGTTCTATATGCCAAATTTCATCGAGATCCGTTCATCCGTTCTCGAGATACCTTCAAACAAACATCCATCCATCCATCTTAACTTTCGCATTGTTAATATTAGTAAGATTAGGAGTAAGATTTCATCGAAGCAATAAATTTATTTTTTAATATTTATTAAAAAATCTCTCTAATATAAAGTCATCATCATCAGCACACTATACTTCACCAATGAGGAACTGACTAGACTAAGTAGGCCATAATCAACCACACGGGTATAGTGCGGGTTGACCTCACATATATCTTTTAATTTCTTCTCAGATATATGCAGGTTCCTTTACGAAGTTTTCCTTCACCTAAAGAACGTCAGATAAATGTATATTTGTAAATCTAAAATCGAAAAACACATAAGTACATGATAGGATTCAAACCCACGAATTACAATTCAAGTGTTTAACCCCCTGAGCCATCGTCCAAGTTCCTAAGTGGGGACGTATAGTGAGCTGATGATGATGGTTAACATGCACTGAACTTAGGTCTAACTAGTGCTAAATTATAGCTCTAATGGTTTTAGCTTGATCCTAAGTTGTAAGCGAATTCTTTTACTGTAAATTTTCTTTTTTTGTATTTTGCTATTTCCTTGAAACAGTCGTAAAAAGTGGTCTAGCTAAAATGTTTTGTACTCCATTCAAAAGTCTCAAAAAAAAAGAGTTCAAATATCTATACGGACAGGAGATAAAAGCTTTGAACCATTCTGTGCCAAGGGTTTTGCAAATAAACGAAAAACTTTTGGTAAATTACGTGATATTTCTAACCATTTTTACGTAACCTATTAAAGGATAACTAACTAAAAGTAATAAGTAAACAAAAGGACTTCGAAAAAAAAACCTACGACTTTTTAAAGATTCCAAAATCATACAACCCTAATGCATACCTACAGACAGATCTTATACGCCTTAGTTATTATTATAACTCCGCTTTAATTCGCACCGAAGTCAAAAATGTTTTGAAAAAAAAAATTATAAAATAGGTAAAAAGTAATAGCTCACCTGTATGTCTGTTCTTGGGCTTCGAATATAAATCCACACTCATAGAAGCTACTTAGTAGTACAGGGAACAGCAGTAGGACGAAATTCAATAGATTGTAACGTCCGTAAGGACCAAGACTTTCCAACACTGAGTCCAAATTAATTGGTTTCTTGCTTTCATCCATAGTACAGGATAACAGGAACTTTTAAGACTGTACTTCGTTCTTCGACGATGTTCTGAAATAAATTGGAACGTTTAGAACTGTATTGTTGAACGTTAAAAAGTTAAGTTCGAACAGTTTGTATGTCGCAAAGTTGAACGAACATGGAGAGAAAATTTAGAAGTAAATTTACTGGCATTCTTAGAATTTTCTGTTACTTGAAGTTATTTTTTAAGAATGTTGTAACCTCTTTTAAGTTGGTGCACATCTTTTTTAAACTAACAAATCACTCCTGCTTTACTTGGGTAAATAAATTCGTATCCGGCTCGAAGGACTATAAATATTTTAGTCACAAATATAAGTAAAATATATAAAAGAGTTTCTATTGCCGTATTAAAAATTATATATAAAGGATATACATATGTATTGTGTTCAAAACACTACGCTTTCCAAAATTACATTCCAAATAGTACGGCTGTACCCAATAAATTATCTAGATATTATTTATTGCGTGATTACAAAAGTAAAATAAAGAAGTCCTTGGAAGAACTTCACAATTTTTCTCAGAAACACACTTCCATTTATTTATCGAGTGTAATAAAGCAATAAAGCTCGCCGCGTTCGCAAAGTTTCCGAGTGAAAAAGTCGAGTACAGCGTGATATCAAATGAGGACCAGAAACTATCGAACCTATTTATATTTAATTACATTTTCTTGAAGAAAACTTCGGACTAACTTTCACAAAGGATAAATTTCTTCAATATTTTATGACATAAATTATTCATGTCACTAAGTTACATACCCATTTTATTAAAATCACACGTCTTAATTAAGTAAACAGAGAAATAATGCTTTAAAATTGTGGATTAAAATGAAATCATACTGTATACGGGCTGCTAATGTTAGTTTATGTCTGAAATTTAAGACACGAATAATGTGCAGTTTGTGAAAGTAAATTGAAATATAAAATATATTTAATTCTCATCATCAGCTCACCATACGTCTCCACTGAGGGGCTCGGAGCCTACACTAAGTTAAGGGTGATTAGGTCATAGTCAACCACGCTGGCCAAGTGCGGGTTGGTTGACTTCACACATATATTTGAATTTCTTCTCAGATATGTGCAGGTTGCATCACGATGCTTTCCTTCACCGTAAGGTCGGATAAATGTACATATGTAAATCGGAAATCGAAAAATACATTGATACATGGCGGGATTCGACCCCAGGACCTGCAGATTGCAAGTCAAGTGCTTGACCACTGAGCCACCGACGCTCTCCAATATTTTATCAGGATGAGGTTAATATAAGATTGAGACAAACAAACAAGGAATTTATAATATATACTTAGAACATTTCAAATGATATCGAGAAATGCAATCCAAGGCAACCAGCACTAAAGCGATACAAGATCGATAGTATGATAACATATGTACTGAGAACTCAGCAACAACTTACTGAATGAAAACCTCGTTTAGAAACATACAAGATCTTGGATGAGATTTTATTTCTATTACTGTATTTTGTTTAACATTAATAGACTAAGTTCACGTGATTTTAACAATAAATTTACTTGGACATATTGACCATGTAACTTTATGAAATTGTCGCTATAGTGTGTTTATTTAAGATTAGATTGATAATTCAATTGACAATTCACTAGAGATGGGTTGATTAAAATCGGTTGTGAAGATTTTCGATGGTTGTTCTCATAGAACTTGCGATCGAAAATTTCGTTATTATTTTTTTTGATGACAATATAAATGTAATCAACCAACCAACCCGCACTTGTCCAGCGTGGTTGACTATGGTCTAATCACCCTTAACTTAGGGTAGGCTCCGAGCCCCTCGGTGGGAACGTATAGTGAACTGATGATGATGATGATGATGATAAATGTAATTGTTTCTATTTACACCAACTTTATTCTTCAAAGCTATATAGGAAATAATATATTAAAGCAAAAATTGAGACGACGAGAAATAAAAAAAAACTTTTTAATGTTTTTTTTGTTTTGATTGCGCTTTACAGCTAAATATTATAAACATATTTAGGAGTAGTTTTCCCTTCTCATATTATTTATATTCTATCATCAAGATATTTAGAAAGAGGACATAAAGAATATATAAAAGGTAATACTAAGGTTAAAATAAATTAGATTAAATTTGATATCGTAAGCCGAAAAGATTATCCACAAAAACATAGTACCTTGTACGTCTTCCTATACAAAAAACTCTACTCATATTTCTCGAATTCGTTCTGAATTTCTCGTAAAACACTTGTATAGATTCAGAAAACAATGTTATGTTAATAGACACCGAATAATCTAATATCAAAATATACATTATTGCGAACAAAGTGTACAAAAGAATTACATCTCACACACATCTGACACACGAGACGATATTTGAGTCCGTCAAAGATCAGAAAATTCAATGTGCACTGTGAAAAAAGGGTGAAACAGGTCAAGCGAATGCGAATTTCTTTATTTTTGGGCTTAAGTTGTATTAATTAAGCATTTTATATAGTTTATTTATTTGGACTCATAATAAATCGATATATTATATAACATCTCGAAACATATTTAAATTGAATTTGTTTCAAACTTTGTAAAAATCAAGCATACTAATGAGTATAATTTAAATGAAATTTCACTGAAATATAAGTAATATATTAAAAGTATGTTTTTAAAACTTACATACGGATTTTCGCTGTAAACTTTCACGTTGCATTTGGACATAGAAAGAGCTTAAAAGCTTTTGCACGCGGACCGCACGGCGCGGACGGGAGCTAACTTAATGCATACTGTCGGAGGCTTCGCTATACGAGAACATATCGTCCCAGGCACAATTAAATTAGTTTCAATATATTCTTCACATTAAAAGCTTTTTTGCAAATCCTTTAAGGCCTTTAATATATGTATGTTTTAAGTAAACTCTGGCTGACTTTCGGCATGAGTGTCTATGATTTTTATTTTTTGTGAATGATTGCCACTGTTTGTCTTAAGGAGCCATTTACAGCTTCATCGGGCTTGAGGTGGCCGAGCGCAGATGGCACTTAGCCTAAACCTCGTTTAAGAGTAACTAAGCTCGAGGGCTCCCTCAGGAACCTCGGCTCGGGCCGTTATCGTTATTATTACCGGATTGGGGGTCTATGATGTCTTTTATTAAATTTATATATTGTGTGATTGAAAGATTTTGTAAGCGCGATGTAACACGACGCTAACGCCATCTCTTAGCGTAAAACGGTAATATTAAAATATTTTATTTTTTTACATAAAATCGAATAGATATATAAATCTTACAAAAGACAATTACTAGTTAAACGTATTAAATTCCTCTACTTATTACACGCCGGTTCAGATGTAAGGGTCAAATGGATCATTAAATTAAACGACACAATTAAACGTTCAATCCATCAATTAACCTCTTAATCCGCGGCAATGGTCGCTGAATCATTTCTTAAACGTGAGAACGAATCGCGTATTTTGCTTCCATTAATTACATAATAGTAATAATAAGATCAATTAAAATGATAAAGAATATATACCATTTCTGATCTTCCAGAAATATGACATATCTATTGGAACTTAAGATTATAAATTTTACGGACTCGCTTGCTAATTTTACTCCATTTGGCAGAATCAGAGCAATGGCTTCGACTTTCTTATTTGATACTAGCTGTACCCGCGACTCCACCCGCGCGGAATTAAAGAAACTTATTTAGTAGCCTATGTGTCCATCCAGACTATGTTCTACACCTGTGCCAAATTCCATCACGATCCGTTCAGGCGTTTTGGAGATACTGGTCAAAGAAATCCATCCATCCATCTGAACATTCGCATTATAATAGTAGGTGTAAGATATAGTTTAATATATTGACTACTATTCAAGTCTCGATCCACAAAGTATTGTTGACAAGGACTTTAACAATATTGTTTTGACGTATTGTGGTTACCCACATAACTAGGAAATAACTTCGATAGGAAGGTCTCTAGAAGGTCTGTATATCGGATTACTGTGGTTACTACGAAAATGCTGCAATATGTCTAAAGAAATAAATCTAGATCAGATAATGAAGCGTGAACTTATTTATCATCGGCATTATGAGTTGCAAAAAGGACTTTTCGACATAAATACATTTTTATGTAAAAAAAATTGAATAGTTATGTTCAAAAACTATTATAAATTTAATCTATTTTATAGAATCTATAATGATAGTAGGTGAGCGATAGTATGGCATAATTTGAGTCGGCAAATATCACAGACTACGAAGATTTGAAACTCAAAGTTTAGTAGGCCTAACAGGAATGTTTGTGACTATCGCCATCGATAGAATTTGTGCACATATCGAGCGCAAAGTACACCGGAAATCTCATTTTAATTTTGACATAATTGACGATATGATGGCGATTGTCACAAAAATTCGTGATAGGCCATCTCGTTTGAAACAGTCGTGGATTGTACTTCCATCGAATTAAAGATTCATTTGCAACTATCGCGTTGTTTATAATACAATTGTTTTATACTTGTTCATAGTAAATACATTAATCAATATGCAGGAAATGTCTGAGCATTGTCTATAGACTGGCAAATGATTTGCTTGTGTCTAAACGAGCACAAATTAATCGATCACGACCCAACGCTGTGATATAAGTGGGCGTTAAGTGTTTGCAAGTGGGAGTCAAGGCAATATATTAATATAACTCCTTTACTTGGAAATAGAAATATTGCTTAAAGTTTTTGCACAAATTTTATTTCGAAAGTGTATGTACAAAAAGATGATAATAATTTCCCTTTCCACAAGTCTTACCAAATTTGTAGTTTTCGTTCCTTTGTTTCTCCGTGAATTTTCTCATTACTAATACGCTTTCAATAAACAAACGTTATCATTTACGTGTCATTTATCTGTACGTCATTACCTCGTGGATACCTGACGAGTCAACAGTGAGTCATTTCGAATACAATAAAGGAAAGATCTGATATTGCTGTCATAAAGTAAAAGTCCTTCGTTTCCCAAAATTGGTATCGGCCAGAAAATTTTTTGAGGACAAAGAATGTAAAACAACAATTGCAAGTGCAGATTGCCAGAAGGGAGATTCCCCTTCTTATGCATCCCCGTTCCCTGAATTCATCTTCCCATTAATTATTATAAAAAAGGTGGGAAGTGAAAGTGGACTAAAATAAGGCTTCCGACACGCATAGTTTATTTCTCATTCGTTTTATTGCCCGGAATCTACTAGTCCAAAATGAGAGTGACAATAGCACTAGTGTTAAGTTTGACTTTTAACGCAATATCGGGTCAAATAATTCCCAAAATAAGTCACGACTATAATTTAAAACTGATAAACTTATATTTTCAAACATATAACATTGTTTTCAAGATAAAAGATCTACATTCACAAACATAACGTCACCTTGTAGAATCTCATTGTGACACTGCGTAAATAAGCGTTTATTTTTCGACGCCTACCAATACTGGCATTTCGGAATATATTACCTTGTTAGTCTTTCTTCATTCATACATTTTAATTACCTGAACTCAATAATCTTATATCTCTCTATTTCAAACGACGCATACCTTTCGTTGATCCTATATCAGCTTCTAATTAACATTCTTATCTTGCCATATATCCTATCTTTTATTTTATGGTTGTTGGTCCCCTAATTTTGTATTGCACTTCATGGCTTCATAGACAATTACTGGTGTACGTTTCAAAACAACGCCTACATAACTAAAATATCGGAACGTATTTTTTTACCAGAAATAATTTAACAAGTTTTATTATATGCAGGTTGTCTTGCTTAAAGATTTGGATTGGACCAAGATGTTATATTATACGTAGTCTGATTTCTTCCAGACTATGATCTACAAGCCAAATTTCATCAAGATCCGTTGAGCCGTTCCGGAGACACCTTCTAACATCTATGCATCATAACTTTCGTATTTATATTAGTAAGATTTGCATGTTCAAATATCGAACTCTGTCGGTTAATCGTTGATTAACCCTTCAATGGAAGTGGCTAATAACAGCACTCGCAAAGACTTGCATAATGCATGAGCTATGGCAGTGCAGCACGTTCAAACGAAAACATCTGCGCTGCGTTGATATGAAGTTGTCTGCTATTTTGTATTAGCATGTCGCTCAGATCTCGCGAAATCTATTCAAGTACTCTCATTTGAGCTGCTTCTAATGTAAATACGTTTTACCTTCTAGGTTGGATGTTGAAAAATTATGTTTAGGGGAACAAATTAGTAAAGTCACCTTTAATATACGAAATGGCTACAGAGTTTGGTGTTGATTTTATATCAGTCCAGTTTTTGCGTCCTTAGAAAAAAGCGGGAATTAACCGACTGAGGTTTTAAATTAAAAAAAAATATTATATTTAGTAACTTTAAACAATTAACCCAAAATAACATATTAAAATGTTGCATTCGCATACCATAAACTCGTTTAGTTGCATCAAGTTATTCGAAATTCGAAAAAATTCCAGTTGTCGATTCGATTCATCGATAAATGGATAGGCGATTGCTTCGAAATGGCAGCTTTTGCTTCGTTACGATTGTGACGCGCTTTTTGATGTTACGTGACAGTAAAAAACTATCTATATTATTAGTTCCAATCCTCACCACCACTACAAACCGTTACGACCAGCGCCAAAATGGAGAAAATCAAATCGGCACAAAATATTACCTCTTATAGCCAGTCTATTTATAGAGGTCAGTGATTCGATTCGATATTCGAATAGCATAGAATTCGAATAATGCCGGTTGCCTTGGGCAAGGGAATCACTCAATATTAAGTGGGACACGCGTGATACTGCAAGGCGAATACTTATCCGTCAATTTCAAATATAGCTATTGCTATCTCTGTTTTCTTCAAAGAGAATGACAGAGATATTTTCTTCTATAAGTCTTACCTTGTGATGTCTTGTAGAAGTTAATAATACTACTAAGCATAGAATTTTACTTGTAACAATTTTATAAAAAATCTTTTCATTTATCGTATTACGATTGAATTTCCTTATCACTTTTAAACCAGATAGATATAACAAGTTCTTTTAATTGCATTTTCTGATGAACCGTTTATTGAGAATCGAGTTATCTCCATAAATACAATGTGAACGACTGTTTGTTATCATTTACTCGACGGATTTTAATGTACACTATGAATCAGAATTATTATACATATTACGTAAAGCGTAAACTTTGTACTTCTTTTTATGATAATTTCTGAAATTGTGTGAAAGGCGCAGTGAAAAAAAGTGCACAAGCTTTTTAAAAAAAAATCGATTACGTACTTTTGTCTCTCGATCATTCGACCACTGGTTGGAATCAATGAACCTTCTCAATAAATGACAATTGACAGATCATTCGTTCAATTAATCGATTGCTTGGGTCATCGAGCGATTTTGGCATAATGTCCCTATTGATTGGAGAAACAAAAAAAATCAATTAAAAGATAAAAACTATTTATTTAACGGACTAAAAGTTATTAAAATATTTGCATAGATATGCAAGTATTTTAGAGGATTCTGTAAACTTTCTAAGTGTGATCTTGTTTCTGTGAAAAGAATCTGAGAAATGTGTTTGACAAATTTGTTAGGTTTCTGAGACCAAAAGTTTAAGAATTTCCAAATAATTTTGATAAATATTTTAGGGGCTCAAGGTCATTTGCGCAACGTCCTCGCTTCGTATCCCGTCACGCAGTTACACATAAATTTCTGCTCTGAGCAGGAACTCATACTAAGTTCCGAGCTTCCAAGATATTTGAAATATACTATACAAGTGATTGCAACATTTGTTCGAGTCAAATAGTCGTATTGTATTTTAATTACGACGAACATTGCAATTGTGCGACATATATAGCAATAGGTCCAAGGATATCGAAAATTTAAATAATAACGATCGTTCGGGGCACGATATTGCATTGAAAAAGCAAGCAAGATGCCTTGCGAAGAAACCATACACACGCAAGCTTGCCTTAAGATGACACTTTTTAATGTCTAAGCTACATCTAAGAGAAAAAAATCTCATCCAACATCAAGATAAAGAAAAAGAAAAAAAAAAGAAATTATCGGAGTGTCTTATTCGCGCATGTCTTAGGCGCATGTCTTTTTTTCCTACGTGTCAATGGCATATTGTTTATGAGTAAAATAAGTTATTTATCCAGTTGACAAATGAGTCATTTCTTTTATTGAAATCTTTTAACCGATTAATAAGAGTGCAAATAGGATTTTATCTTCAATATTTTCTTGTTTACATGTCAATGTTATGTTTCTAGATCTTTCCATTCTTTGTAAGTCCAAGGTTCAATAACCCGAGACAGTGCTCTCATCAAATTGCAATGATTTTTTTTACTAGAACTGTGCGCGGGAAAAAAACAAAAAATGTATACAACTGGTACCAAAAAACATTCAATATATAAGTTTATATAGAGATTTTGGTCTTACAAACCAACAGTAATAGGGAATATTTCTCGTATCGTACCAAGGTATGCAACCAACCAAACCAATATAGGTTTATACGTATGTCCATGCCTTGGGACCTTGTGTAGGCGAATCAGCTAAGCCGATTTTCACGGTTGAACTGTCAAACTGTTATTTGATTCGTCTTATCCCCAGTGTGTCATATGATTTAAACCCGTTGAGAATTTTTTTAAGTAGTTTAAGAATCACTTTTTTACGTTTGTAGATTAAAAATAAGCATTAATCAAAAAATATTTCTAGTCGTAAAAATAATAGCAATTTCAGCATTAAAATGTAATATAAATATAGATTATTATCTATTTATAGCATGACCTACTTTACTAAGAGGTGAATGACATATTTATAAGTGTTATGTAGACTACTTTAAAGATTAAAAAGTTACAGTCGAAAACAATTTAGACATTTAATTACAGAACAAACACAAGAAATAAAAAAAACTGTCTGCCGGATGACAAGACAATATAATGAAAGGAAGCGCGGTTGTTAAGCAAACATAAAACCTAACAATGGGTTACCGTTAAAACTGTCTAAAGGAACATGGGATTATCGATCCTAAGCGAAATTGTTTTGCAACCCTAGTACTGTGTATGAGTGCAACCAACAATGTCGGCGGTCGGCGACTACAATTTAATTACGAGTCAACCATGCGTTTGTTCAACTTTAAACAACATAAATAAAACACTACAATTACAAATCAAACAACTGAATTAACACGCTTTAATTACTAATTCAAATGATAAAACAAAAAGTCGTACTTACAGCGATGTAAAAATGAATACCATGCCCTATTTCACAACACAACTGTCCATCGGAATGTTCAAAATGTTCAATATATAGTTTCAAATATAACACGTGTGCACTAATACGAGGATTTTTCGTTTTAAATAATGGTATAATAGAAGACGACGATATTTTAAAAGTAATAATTGTTTTAACCGGCCGGCGACTTACGAACGCGTGTGGCACACACTCTTGACAAAACCCGTATAATATAACTAACATCGGCGCTAGCGTAGCCGACCGCACACTAGCTCCAACTTACGGTACGTCATTTTCATCACGCCACGCGCTTACGCCGATTTCGCATCCGAAACGAGGTTATAAATTCTTTAGTATACATTGCCGTTTTTCATACGACTGCCAACTCGTTTACAACAGAAATGAAGCAATGAATTATATTTTATATATATTATTATCTAATCGCTAATTGAAAGTTAACGTCCGATGAATATACGTTCATACGTTTTTTTGGAAGGGGAATATTATTCACTTGAAAAAAAGTGTGTGAAAGTCCTTAGTATAGATTTACTACAATCGACACTAAGGGACTAATTTATTAAACGATTATCATATTCCTGGCCTTATCCCACTCACATGGGCTCGGTGCCCAAGTTTTTATAAACCTTAACGTTTTAGATTAATTTTTACGGCCGGCCGCCAGCCTGTCGCCAACCCTATTTGTGAAAAAAAAACTAAATATTTATTTTTTAAATTAATAAAAGACTAAAGTATGATATAAAATCTTGTCACTTCACCATAATTTCTTCTAATTTTTTTTACACAATCCGCAATAGCAATGGTTAGAAACTGTCCAGTCTATAATTATTAGGTCAAAGAATACAGACATCGTATAGTATAAACTAGCTGTCGCCCGCGACTCCGTTCGCGTGGATATGTAAAAAATTTAATTAGTGTAGCCCACCCACCCATCCATCCATCCACATCACATCCATCTAGACATTCGCATTTATAATATTAATAAGTTAAATAAAAAGGTATAAATTAGAAAAAAAATGAATAAATAGTATCCTATGTCCGTCTCCTGGCTCTAAGCTACCTCACCAATTTTCAACCATATGGGTAAAGCCGTTCTTGAGCTATAAATAGTGTAACTAACACGACTTTCTTTTATATATATAGATGATCTGTCTGGTTCTAATATTCTGTGGCCTCATTAACTCATGTTTGACTTTGATACGTATTTTCGTGTCTTACTATAAAAATTGCTTGGAAACTTGACAAACAAACTAACAGTCACATTTGTAGTAAGAATAAGCTTATAATAAAGTCCGATAAACTTATGTAGCCAGATGAGACGCTGTTATTGCTATACAAAATCTGATAAAGAAAAGAAAGTGACAAGCTCTGACAAAGATATTTGACACTTTTATTGACAAATGAAGTTAGTACATTCTAATGATATTTTGGTTTTTGTTTCACTTATGCCCAACGGGTAAGATGAGTTTATCGGACTATAACATTTTTGTTATTATAGAAATGAATATTGAAATTTTCGCATCGTTATTTTAGCATCTCGTTATGTTTCGTAATTTTTTTCGGAACCCCTTCCCCTTGCCCGTTTAAGCCACATGTGGTCAATGGACGATCTCTAAGGTAACATAATGGCAAAAGTTTTATACATACATAGTCAAACTGTTACCTAACCTACTGTTTGACTTTGGTATAAAATATGTTTGCCTTTAGAGTCGCAAAGAAATCAAGAAGCGAGCGTATCACAATCTCAAAAGCCGGCAACGCATCTGCGGTTCCTCTGGTATTGCTAATCTCCATGGGCGTTGTTGAACTCGGTGTTCCCGCTGCTCTTTTGCCCCCTTCTGCTATAAAAAAAAAGAAATCAAGAGAAATCTAAAACCGCTAACAACATAATAAAGAATCATATCAGTATAACCGCATTATTGTCGAGATATAAAGAAACTGTGTTCAAGTAACCGCGTCATTCGATTTACACTATGAATACGGACGTTACGTTATATTGTAACTTTGCATTTTAATTATGTGTAGTACAATAGTTTCATTATTGTATGCAGTTTATTTGTAACTAGCTAGTCAGCTTCATCGTACATAGGAACAAACAATTTCTAGGAAATTAGTGGTTCACCAAAAAATTTCACACGCTGGTTGGGTTTAAAAAGTTTAGAAACTCAACACTAGAAAATACTGGCAAGTTTTAAAAACAAAAAAGTAAACATTAAGAATAAATAGATTCGAAATTTAAAACGAAATAGAACAGACATAGACAACAAAGGATCGCATCGCAATATTTCCGCGCAGTTTTTATTGATATTGCATAGATATTAAAAACGGGGAATCCCCTTTCGCAATGGTAATCAACATTGGGAGGAGAGCTAATTAAAATACGATCCCCGGGTATTACTCCCTACCTATTAATTAAAACAAAGCTGCTTTCTTTTGACTCGGTTTATTATCTCGCTGAAAAATTGAAGTGCATTTGATAGCAAAGATTGCTTCGACTATAATCTGTTATTGCACGAAAAATATTGATTGATTTTTTCCTAGACTATGACTATTTAGTCTTTTATTTTAGCCTAGACTCTTACTAATATTATAAATGCAAAAGTTTAGATGGATCGAAGGATGTTTGGTACAAATGCGGACGGAGTCGTGGGCGACAGCTAGTATTATAATGATTGTACGGCGAGTGTACAAAAAGATATTTATAATGAAACAGTAAAATAGCAAAATTCCGTAGAAGAGTTTCAAGAATTGTAGTCATTTTATTATTGGGACAAGCTGGATCGGGGATTAAATTCAATCTAAAATACGGGCGACATGCCATCGCTACTTCGGGGTTTTCGACTTACATTCTCCTGAATTTCCAATTGCTTTTTGCAAGCGACTATGTAATAGATACCTGGTAGTATTCACTTTATTTTTAAATTAAAACCTTTTTAGTTGCAAAGCAAAAAACACTAAAGAAACAGTTTAATACTTCGTGAGTTTTTTTTAATTCAAAAACAAAAGAGGACGGAGAGGAAGAGACTTCATAAAAAACTATTCTATTAATTAAGAAAGATCTGGCCACAAAAATTATGTCGTTAAAAAATCTACTTTAATATAAAAATATCTTAGTATCAATTTCGAAGTTCTTAAGATTTTTTTTCAAGAGACAAACGAATAACAATAATAGTTGAAGATCGGGACGAGGAAATACACTTTATGTTTGGAAACTATGCGCTGTCTGTGAGTTGTTCTTACTCCATTTTGTATCGGATCCTTTTTATTTTACGGAAATCCTTCTCCACTAAGTACTCAAAGTTTATGTGGCACGATGATAAGCAAGTTAGTTGTTTTGAGTGCTTTAGAAGGAACCTTTTATTGGAATTTTTCGGTGCCAAATAACTTAGAAGTGGCAATAGCTGTGTCTACTGAAATATAGTTCTTTTAGTTATTTTTTTTCAAAGATATTCGGATCACATTTTTATAGCTTCCATTTATTGATTTACTAGCTACTTAATTACATTTTGAGATACTAGCTGTCGACCATGACTCCGTCCGCGCGGGATTAAAATAAATCTTAATTAGTAGCCGATGTGTTCTAAATGTGTGTCACATTTCAGCGAGATCCATGCAGCTATTCTGGAGATACGTCCAAACAAACATTTATCCATCTGTCTTTCCCTTCTTCTATCCTTGCATCAATTCATCCATCCATCCATACATCCTTGTAAACATTCACATTTATAACATTAGTAAGATTAGTCAGTTTAAGAAATTCTTGGTACTTTAAACGTTATTAATCACAATCCTTTGGCGCGAATGGCACGTTTTCATTGCAAAGTCAAGTGTCAGAATTATTAGTGATATACGACATATACGTCAACATTATAGTAAGGCTAGTGTTGTGCCAGTACACCGACACAGTGTCGGATATTCTTCCTAATAGTTCATACAATTATGTTGATAACATTTTAATTATAGCAAAAAGTGTCGTGTTCATGCATTTAGATGATACGTTTTGTGTGCAAGACATCATCTTAATTGCAGTTCTTGGTATTTGTTACATTGAAATAGTAATTTGGAACTCAGTACGTGATAATTATTGTCTTAGATTTTGTAGGACATTTACTGATATACAAATAATGGTTACTTAATGTATTTTTATCTGAATAACATATGTATCTTATAATTATACTTAAGGTAACGCGTTCATTGGCCCGCGTCGCCCGCATCGCATTTTTTTATATGATAAGGTGGAAAACGAGCGAGCGGCCACCTTAAATCGCTGAAATAGCGAAGTGACCGTTGCCCATAGACATACGCAATTGCATATGCGTTGCCTACCTTTAATCGGCGGAAGAGATGCACAGAAAGAAAACATTTCCATGCATCCTCTCATCCGGAAAGTCCACTTCCACTTCCCATCCTTTCCTTATAAGGAAAAGGGTAGGAAGGGAAAGAGGACTAAATTAGGCCTAAGGGACGCACACTCATCAGACGAAACGCGGAATTGCTTCCACTTGACGCCTGTCTTCTGTGTGGTCGTGGTATTTCACCGGGCGAGCCGGGCCAATTCGTGCGAAGATGTTTAAGCGGGCTCTACCACTGTTAAATCAAGACAAAGTAAATCCGTGCGTGCAGTGCGTCTCGCGTTGGACAATAGACGCGCGCTTTTTAAAAGGTTATTTTATGCATTTTTAAAAACATTCCACAAAACATATGGAATCAAATTATACCTTACAATGGGTTTCACCATTTAGGAACAACGAATTTGACATAAATACCTGTATATAACATATAAAATGTACATACATACTGCGAAACATCGTCTATCATAACAACAATTCAAAGCTAAAATAAAAACTACATTTAAGATATTGTAGAATATTCTAGAGAAGATGAAAGAGGAAACAATCAAGTGTTTCTAGGGCACGGCACATATCTTACCGGATGCATCTAAGTATCAAGATGTGTTGCTGTAGTTCAACGGATGCACGCTGCAGTATCAAGATGCATCGCGTTGTACCGCGACACTCGCCCCCTTTGTTGTTGCACCGGGTCGCGGTAGCCCCGAATATTGCACTTCTCTTAATCGTTTACCAGTGTTGTGTGATGTGTTTTGTCATATCGATAGAAATATTTTTATACAAAGTAATTATTAAATTAATAAAAATGTATCCATGTTTTCACAAACAAATTAAATAAAGAACTATAAGCTGCCATCTAGAACCACCAAACACTAATAATTATTTGTCTGT